GGCGGAGTCTGGGAAGATACCATTATCTTTTTTTGGACTTGAAAAGACAGCCAGGAGTATGGGTCTCTGTGCGGCTGTCCTGGGACGCAGGAGGACGAATGCGGGAGAACAGGGTACGCATTCACTCGAGAGAACAGAAAAGAGGTGTTGGGGCTATCCACGGACCTCACGAAGGACATGGGAATCTTTGTCGCGGGCGAACAAGGGGGGTGAAAGACCCACGCGACGACAATTCCACCAACGAACGATGAAAGATGAAACGAGCAAAAGATTTTCAGACTTGACATGCATTCGCACACGGTACATACATGGGACACGTCAAAGACGTCTGTCTATCTTAGAGAGAGAGAGAGAGAGGAAGAGAGAGCGAAAGAAGGAGATATCCTGGGGCATAAACGAGGTCTTTGTCAGTGGCCTTTTTGTCACATTCTACCCATCCAAGCAACAATATACCACAGATAGCACACGAAAGAAGTATAAAACATTTGAAGTTCATGAATCTCTTTGGCTCGATTCATCGGCATGTCCGATTCTATCTTTGTCTCGTCTCTCATGGCATACTGTTTCGTGACTAGGCGAGGGAGGCGAGGGAGGCTCCATCTCAATCTCAACCACATCTCAAGCACCTCGACCACGACCCCGACCCCTTCCTCGGCCGCCACCACCACCTCGCTGCTTCCCATGCGGGACCACAATCTTCAGGCCCGCAGGCAGGTCCGCGACCCGCTCGCCGTCCTTCCAGAGCACGCCCACGCCCGAGCCCTCGCGGCCCCGGACCTCGGCAAAGTACCGGCTCGGCACGAGCCCGGCCTCGGCGTCGCCCTCGCACAGGACGACGCCGTTGGCGCTGCGCCACCACGTCAGCGCGCCGTCGCGCATGCTCCGCGCGGCGTCGACGTAGACGAGCAGCTCGGCGTCGCGCCGCATGCCGCTGACCACCGCGGCGGCGGCGTCGGGCCCGGACCCCCCCTCAGGCAAGCCCGTCGCGCAGTGCACGTGCGTGCGGCTCATGGGCTTGAGGCCGCCGGACGCGACGATGCGCGGCCAGAAGGCGAAGTAGGTCCCGTGGACGACGGTGGGCGGCACCGTGGCGGGCGTGAGCTGCTCCAGGTGCGCCGTCGACTCGAGCTTGATCGAGTGGCCCTGGTTGGCGCGGATGAGGAAGTCGGCCGGGTCCTGTCCGGCTTGCTCGCCCTCGCCCTCGCCGTCGCCCTCGCCGCGCAGCTTGAGCGTGAAGCGCTGCTTGTCGTTGCTGGCGACGAGGCTCCGGATCTCGTCGAGGGTGGGCGAGAGGTTGCGCAGGGGTGCCCACGCCATCTTTGTGGATTTTACAGCAAATTTAGTTTTCTTTTTTTTTATGTCCCGTCATTGTAAAGAGAGAAGGGAAAGACAGAGAGAGAGAGAGAGAGAGAGGGAGAGAGAGGGACTCACCACCCGGTCTAGCGGTGCGTATCCTTCATCGTCGAGCTTGATACCAGCGTTCTCGGCCTGGTGCCGGAGCAAGCGTGACAAGGTCTTGGATATGGTCGTTTCGCGATTCCGGCCGCCCCCACCACCTCCTCCTCCACGAAACTGTGACCCTCCGCCGCCTCCTCGGCCTCGACGGTGACCGCCGTGGGCGCCAGCTGTGAGTCTATCCTGCAGCCTGTCGGCCTGGTCTCGATCCATGATCCGTCGTGGCCAGAGTCTGAGCCGGCGCAGGCTATGAGCAAGGCGTAAAGAAGAGTGAGGATATGATGGGGTGGGGATATTTCTTGTCGTCCGCCGAGACGACGTGGCCAGAAAGAAGAAGATGCTGCGAGGAGACAGCGTGAACGGCGAAATGCGATTTAGTATGTGTAATGATGAGGGAAGGCACAACAGCCGGGACGAGGAGATGTGCTGCTCCTAGTGAAAGTGATATATGAGTTGGGCCTAGCTGGAATTGAAGTGAGTGAACCTGGGTGTGTACCCAATTCAGCTGGTGGGCTGTATTTTCAGCTCGTCCTTAGCTTGGCTCTGAATTAATTAATTACAGCTCGCCGGCCTGAGTCACCCACCGGAAGCAGCATGTTATCAATCCACAACCCCCATCAACCCATCAGCAGGGATATCAGATGAATCTAAACTCACGTTGGTGACTGAATTGCCAAATGAGTCTTTTTGTATCGCGCAAATGTCCGCTACAAGGCTACATGACAGATTAAAGGGTCTACACTCCTGACCATTTGGTCGTCCGGGTGGCATGAAATACTCTGGCAGCAAATGCATCTCGGACAAGATTGGCGAAGACAACTCGTTGTATTGTACACTATGTTCGCGACCACCTTGCGGTATTCAATATTGACTGATTATTGGCTTTCATGTACAAGTAAAAAGAGCCCTCCTCCGTTGTCAGAATAGAACAGACAAGACAAGAAAACAAAAAGACGCCGACGATATGACTCGATTCGTTAGGACGTTTCGTTTGAAAAATATAAAAAGGAGGAACGCCATCTTCAATGATGAATAGGGTGCTGCCGTGTTTTGGTTTCATGAAGCCGTGCATGCCTGCCCCGTGAGGATATGTTGCTGGTTCGTATGTACACAAAAGAACGCCCTGCGTGACACCAGAAAGTTGTTGGGGAAAAAAGGACAAAGGAACAGAAATTATGAATCTATTGGTACATTCGTCAAACACCGCCGAAAAGGTCATGGGAGAATCGAAGACGTCGTTAGAAGGCGTTGTAAAAGTAGAATGGTATCGGTGCTTCGTGCATATTGTGCATATTGTGCAAAGTCATTATCTGTGTGACCCGAGTTGGGAGGCCGTCCCGGACAAGCTGGGGATCGCGCTCTCGCGCCTCCTGCTGATGCTGCTGGTCCGGTTGAGCATGGCCGTCTGTCCCAGTGAGAACTGTCGCTGCCCGCGGTCCTCGGCCAGTTTCTCGACGACACTGTTGGTGTCCCGTTCTGGTGTAGACCGGTCGAGGAACCGCCGTTGGGACGAGATGGACGGGAGAGCGAGGCGAGACGTGATGGTGGACGACAGGAGTCGCCGCCGAGGCAGTGCCGAAGCACTTGGCGAAGCTGTCTCTATCGACGGCATGGGTTGTTGGGCTGGCTGCTCGCGAGGCACGGTCCTCAACCCCGCTACCTCGGTAGCTGCCCGAGACGGAGCCCGGAACCGGGAACCGTCGTCATCATCGTCGTTTGTTCCTTTCCGCGGGCGCAGGAGCAACGACGACTTGCGCCCTTCCTCGGGCTCCTCAGTCCCCGCGCGTCGAGTCCTGAGGAACGTGGATTTTCGACCAGACTGCTCCTCTGGTTCCTCGGTGCCTGCGCGTCGAGTCCGGGAGACCAGTAATGACGACCTTCGTCCTGCGGCTTCAGAGGGCGCGTTCGGAGAGAGAGCAAACCGGGGCGTAGCGATAGCCGGGGACATCAATAGGCTAGATCTCCTGTCTTCGACTCTCGTTGCTGCTCTTGGGCTGGTAGCTGATTTCGGTATGGCCAGTTCAGTAGGCTGGGGTGGACGTCGCACTGGAGGCAAGCCTGCGAAGGTCTTGTTAAGAGTAGGGCTGAGAAGGGGTGTGCCCTCTTTCTCTCGCGGGGTTGAGACCTGCGGTGTCTTTTTCTGAGCGGCTTCGTCGCTCAGAGCGAGGCACAACTCGGTAAGACTTCGACAGATGCTTTCGGCCTTTCTTCGCAGTTGGCGGTCCGTCACAGTCGCTGTGCCGCCCACTCCAATGGTGCTCGCTCCGCTGGAGATCGGTCCAGGCTGGCCGACACCGCCCATCATATGTGACAAGGACAAGGCCTCAGTGGCGGCCGACTCGATGGCGCCATACACATCTGCGTTCAGGTGCGTCTTCACTTTGGAAAGGGCTGAGATCAGAATAGGTTGCGACTCGCGTTGCGAGGATGTGGTGCTGGCTGCTTCTGCTTGGGCTTGACCGCCAGAGGTGCGCTTCGGCGACCCTGACAGCGTCGTTGCATTCGTAGTGGCTGTCGCCGGCCTGTCGTCGGATGCTCGGGACATGGCCGCTCCAGAAGTTGGCGGGAGCTTGCCGGTCAGCTCGAGCCGGTGCAAACGCGACTTGAGATCATCAAGCTCGTCCCATACAGTAGACGGCGCCGCCGTTGACGCAGTCGACTCGGTGCCTTCTCGACCGTGGTGTCCGTCGTGGGCGTCCAGCTTGGTCGGATCAGCGCTTCGAGGCACCAGTGGTGATGAGTTGTAATTCTTGGCGAAGCCGTAGGGCGTCCGATGGGAACTGGATCGTCCAGGCACCCAGGAGCCGCCTTCTGTCACCGACGACCGTCTTCGCGCATACGTAGACATATTGTCGACCGGCGAGTCATGGAAGCCAGCAGATCTGGGCGTGCTAGGCGAAGGTCTCGCTGAAGAAACGACAGATCGAGCTGTCCGCGGCGTCTCGATCCTAGATACGGCCCGGCGAGCCAGCTCTCGGGTTGACTGTTGAGCAGGCGCGACGTCTCTCTGCGTGCTCGCTCGCGAATTCTCGCGCTGGTCTGATAATCTCCGCGGTATTTGTGGTGGAGAGGCAGCCTGGTAAGAAGGTATGGCTGCTGATAAAGGGCGCCGCTGGGTTGAGCGGATCAAACGTGTCTGGAGGATCGGTTAGTTTGTGATGGGTGGGATATTGAAAAGCTGCAGTCTTCCAACAAACACGCGTGTACGACAGAGCGGTCAAATATTTCCAGGTGATATCGGCAGACAGCCGAGACAAGCATGCAGTGTACGCCCGATGCATCTGCCATGACGGCATGGTGGGTTCGCCTCGTAAGACCTGAGAAGTGTGCGCGAAATGGAGTCAAGCACACCCTGAAGTCTCAGCCCCTTGGAGTTGCACTAACAAGCTCCAGAAGTATTGAACAAGTCAACTATGATGATTGGGTCACTTACGGCTGCGGTTTGTTCCTCGACCGGCCTGGCCGGCTCAGGCGCTCGACGTGTTGACTCTTCCCCGGCGATGCGCATGAACAGATCCCCCGTGTTCTCCTCGGGGGCGACACCAGCCGAGTCGGGCGGCGTCATCTGCGAATAGTGGTCGTCGGATCTTCCCTCAAGGGCGCGTAGTGTGCGATCATGCTGGTCAGCCTCGGACGCGTCGTCCGACTCGTCGCGGAGGCCGCGCAAATTCATATCGAGTTGCAGGCTCTTCCGGGACCCCGAAGAGCGGAATGAGCGAATGGGCGGGATGGCGGTGCGGCCTGATGAACCGTCGTTTCTCGGCGGCCGGAACGATACTGGTGGACGTGACGTCGGCTTCTTCTTGTCATCTGCAGGTTTGTCTTGAAGAGACTTGGGCAGAAGTAGCTCGCGCTGTCCTTGGGCCCAGTCCTTGGTCGAGGGCGTGCCGGCGCTGGATCGTCGGATTATGGCGGGCGTGTTCGCATTCGGTCGCGGTTCGTGCCCGTCTGAACTGAACGAGGCGGGCGCACGACGCTGCTTGGATCGCGCGATGATCGTAGAGGATGAGGGAGCCGCGCTGGCGTTTGCCTGTTGGTCTCTGTCCTTGGAGGGCGAGTCTGGGTAGGATGCGGGCCGCCTCGGTGTAGTGGCGGCGGTGGCGGAGGGCGTGATCTGGGTCGATGTTGCGGGCGTCTGATCGGAGGATGCGCGAGATCGACCGGGGCTGGTGGGGGGATTGAGGGATGCTGAGGTCCTCGCTGAGGATGGGGCCGACGATGAGCCGGACGACTCGGCGGCCGATGTTGATGTCACGGGCGCAGAAGGCGGTGACGCAGCGGCGGGGGTGCTTTGTTGTGGTTGATGATGGTGATAGGGATGGTGGGTGGGTGGCGGCAGATGTTCTGCAGGTGTTTGGCGTTGGCGTTGAGTCGCTGTCGACACGGGGTTGGTCTGGCCGGTCTGACCCTGGTGGCTCTGCTGCACCTGGTGCAGATCTGGCTGCGGTAGCTCGGTGGGGTCGTTTGAGGTCTGCAGGTGGTCTGGGTCGGGCGAAACAGGCGAAGGGGGCATTTGGTGTTGCAAAAGGGCCGGCAGTGCCAGTGTTTCCCGCTTCAAGTCTGCAAAGCGGAAGGCCGGCAGCTTGGATGAATTGTGGTGTTGGCGGTGCGTCGTGTGGTGCGTGTCTCTTTCCCTGGCCTTGTTCCCAGCTGTGGTGGTGGTGGTGGTGGTGGTGACGGCGTCGCTGATGAGGCCGCTGTCTCGCGGCGACTGATAGTGGCCGTGGGCGCAGGGTTCGGGGGCACTGCTGGCGCTAGCGTCCGCCGAGGCCGCTGTACGGTTGGGGGGTTGGCCCGTCTCAGGCGCCACAGTCGAGGTCGAGCTGGTGGAATTCATGACTGGATCTTTCCGCCCGCTCTGCCCTTCTCTCCTTCTCGATCTCCAATTCCTCTTGCCTGGTCGAGTTTCAGAGCCCCCGATTCTTCAGGCAGAATGGCGTATAATAGCATTAGTTATTGGGGGCGCTCTGACCAGGTGAACCCATGGGAGTGAGCTGCAGTCCCTGAGGCAGTCATTGGCACTCTGGCCAGCCTGTTATTCGGTGGGCAGGTCGGGGAAAAGGAGATGCGCAACCAGTGGTTCGTTTCCAAGGGAGCTGTCCCGGTACGGCCGGTCGATCGGACGGTAGCTCAGTCAAGAAACGCAGTGGGCTCAAGATCTAGGAGGGCGGCGAGCCATTCAAGCCCGTCGTCTTCCAGGAAAAAGAAGAGTTAGAGAGGAAAAGCAAAGAGATTTACTCCAACTCGCACAGGGTCGAGTCGAGTGAAGGGAGTGGAAAATTGTCGAGCTCCGGTGTCGACGGGGCTGGACTCCTTGACCAGAAATGGGAACTCTGCTAGCAAGACGGCCTGCAGCAAGCAGGGGCAGAGGCATCGTCTATCACTTTCTGAATTCATCAACTTCGTCCCCTTTCTCATCCTAGGCCCAGACAGGGGACGGACCCAGAAGCGAGCGAGCGACTTGTCCTAGAGGGCGGCGACACTGCGACGCTACGGTGCCATGGTGGGCAAGGTGGATGGTGGTCCCAGCACGCCAATGCTCGCGAGGCCCCAGCCCGCTGTCATTTCTCGCTGGACCTTCGCTAGCAGGAGGCGGGACGGACGTTAGCGCACCTTGCTTTTTTCGCTTTGCGGGGAGGATTTGTTTGTGGGAGCGCACGTTTCATCTGCGGGTGGCACGGATGTGTCGAAGGCTGGGAGAAGGTGATTTCTGGTGACGGACGTACTGGTGGCGCATTCATCACATGTGTCTATCTGCATGCAAGTCATGTCCCTTTTGCTTTTCCTGTCTTTTCTTCTTCTTTGCATCTTGCCTATCTTCTCTCGCTCCTCGCCTTTATGCATTGTGCATAACCCCTCGAATTGTTGTGTTGTGCTCTTTGTTCACGGCCGGCCAGGTTCCCCCAGAAGTGGATGACACCGTAAACAGACGGCAAAGGTGGACATGCAGACCAGACCAACACACACCTACATACGTCGATACAGCACATCGACAGTGCGCACTGATCAGTACAAACTGGATCTGGTTAGGGGATGTAAGATATGGCAACTCCTTGTAACTTGCGTTGTCCATCGACTGAGGATCACACTAGCAGGTCTCCCGCAGAGCCAGCGTGTTTGATGAACTCCACGCAACCTCGATTCGGGTATAGTTTCAGCTCCAAGAGGAAACGCTCAGGTCTGCGACATTGCTGGTGGCAGCTCCCCTCATAGCCACACTGCTCGCCAGCTTGACCGTGCGATCCTTACCACCCTGCCCTCAAACCTTGATCCAAGCTAGCCCACCCGTGCAAATTGAAGGACGTCCTGAACCTAGCAGAAAGCTCGGACAGTCCCACCCAGATGCCAGCTGTTGTCCGGCCGGTGCGTTATCCTTGGTGGTTCAACGCTGTGGATAGACACCCGTGACAAAGAGTCTGGGTGCAACGGAATACCTAGGTAAGAGTTGACTCTAATAAACGATGATGAACCTCCTGTGACAAGTATGGCTTCTCGTTAGTAGTGGAGTCGCCTACCTAGCTTTCTGTACGGAGTACTCTTTGAAAGATTGAAACTACGGACTATTACTCTTCTCAGTAGTACCTGTCCAATAACTAGATATGAATGTGTTCGTGCGTGGATTAGGGCAAGAAGCGTAACCATGCCGCCGAGATGCTGCCTTTGCTCTACTTCGCCTTCTTCAATAACCAGTACAGACCTGTCCCCTGATGAGTCATTGCAATTATATAAACTGCGGGAAGATGGCTTGTTGAGTCGTGGCTATGGATTCAAGTCAACATGAATGAAGGAGTGGCCCGTGGGAATATGTTTATATAAGTAAAGACGAACAAGAAGATTGGCTGGCAGGTGTGTAGCGACTTGTAGAGGGTACGATAGCACGGGCCGTGCAGCCACTTGTCTGCAAGAAGGAAGGCGGACGGCCGCTAATAAATCGACTTCAACAGAAGGGACATAGTCTGTACTTCGCAGTCTCGGACAAATAGAGTTGGCCAAGCAAAGTGCTTAGATGTAGACTTGGTCCCAAGACAATAGGAAATGACGTCCTCAGCCCGTGGTCTCCATAAGTCACATCGGTAAGCCTCTCAAAACTGTTTCGAAAACGCAGAATCGTGACTTGGTGGGTGATCAAGCGTCTTACTCCGTAGGTCAGGGACAGCTCAAACTGTCGAGAGTCCGCTGTCCAAGCAGGGCGAAGGAATATCGAAAGGATGTGTTCGCAATATTGGATATTTCGATCTGATGTGGAGCGAAAAGGGTCCGAAATTAAGTATGGAGTCAGCTGCAGGGTGTCAGGGGTCTCACCTTTCACACCTCGGCCATGCTCTTCCAAACAGAGGACTGACCTACTCTACTTGTACTCCGTACTTGTAGTGGCTGTTTCCGACAGTCCTGGAGCTGTATGTGCGCAATCAAATGTATGTAAGATTTTCGGCAGCTTATCCTTGTGAGATGGCAATCGATCAAGTACGGAAATACTGGGGCTTACGATTCCGTGCCTTAGTAAGAATCCTCCATCGGATCAGGGTAGCAGCACTTTGGATTCCGGAGAAGATGAGGATTGTGGGCCACATCTAGGTGAAGCAGTCAAGTACAAGTTGCGAAAAGCTCTTCCAGCCGGGAATAAGACAGTCACCGTATATGGTCCTCTTGGACCCAAAGCAGTGCCAAGAGCAAGAGAGTTCAGTCACGTTGAACAACAGCCTTACTACTTGTAGTCTGGGCAGGTGATCCGAGAGGAGGGGAGGACTGAACTCTTCCATCCACTCGCTGGTCAAAGATGGTGTTGTTCAGACGGAACAAGGCTTGCAGACTCCAATCAAGCGAGGAGATGTGATGGCTATATCAGGGGCGCAAACGTGACCGGCTTTGCTCGAATAAAGCTGTCAGTGCATGATGCTCTCGGGTCGGATGATCCTGATCGATCAAGCATCGTGTATAGCAGAGAGAGTGTTTGATCCGCCATCAAATCGTGGGACCACTGAAGACTCTCCAAATTTGAGGAGTGCCGGGTCATCGAGGCAATGCTACTGCCGAGCTCCTAAATGGTATGTAGATCAACAGGCACCACCGATGATACGGATATGGCAGATACGTTACCCTCCGAGACAGCAAGAACACCAGTTCGGTGTAGCGATTGCGGTTGCGATCAAAGAGTAGAGCTAGTCTACGAAGTGGTGCTTTGGAGCTGCCCTTGAGGAAACCGTCAGGGAAGACAACAGCATGATTGACCCGTCCCCGGAATGAGCGATCTCCCGCATGGCAGCCATGAGACCATTAAAGTAAGCTGCCGAGTGCAAAGCGAGGCATGAATCCAAGGAAACAGAAATCATAAAGTGTTGTGGTGTTTAGACACCTAGAAGTGAGCTGGGCCGGGTAGAGATGATGAAACAACTTGGTTGCAGAAACGCCTGTTCTCAACAAAGGATGTAGTCGAGTCTAAACATATGCAGTCTTAAAAGGCTATTGTTTTCTTTCTCTTCTCCCTCTTCTCCCTCTTTTCCCGCGAATCCAGCCAAGATTTTATTTATTTGTGTCCAGGGCAGGGAATTTCGTAGCTACATGCCCTAAAAACAAGAACAGGGAAGCCGATTCATTCTCCATGCGCGACAGGGACAATGCTGGCAAGTGGGAACTAACAAGCGTTGGCCGTTGCATGTTTCAGCTTTGCCAAGACGCTGGGAGGGAGGCCCGAGGCTTTTCTGCCTTTTAAGGTTTAGAGTCGATTCCAGGTTGGTTCTCAGGGGGAGGCTAAGCTGCCCGACTGTGCTGCTTTGCCTTTCAGCAGGGCTTACAGGGCCAGCTGGGCGAGTGCCAGGTACCCACACAACTGCGCCGAGCGACTCGGGGCTGTGATCTCGGTTTCTTCTCCTTCGTCTAAATTTGCGAGTTTCAGTATTTTGACCTGACCCTCGTCGTCAAGGGCTCGGTTTCGTGCATGTTTACCAGCGATGTGTTCATGATCCACAGCCTCTCGATTTCAGGTATTGTTGACCTGGCAACACTGCTTGGAGTTGATTGATCGGACGTGGTGCAGAAACAGATTCATCTCATCTGAGGTGCGAAACCGCGTGTCGAGATAACTACATTCACCCCTACCTATCCCAGACCCAGCTAACTATGTACAAGTAGGTACGTACAAGTAGAAAAGGCGGATACATACCCTATGGCAATTTTAGCCACCTTGTCTGTGTGTTATATATAGACGTCTAGCGGACAAGGGCGCTTCATGTCCGTGGCGCCGACCCTGTATCTGGTTGTTTGTTGCCTGTTGTGAAGTCCCAAGATTGGCTTCCAGTGTGTGAATGGTATTGTTTCGAGGAATCAGGGCACCAGAGAAGACGAAAGCCAGTTTTTGACATCCGCCAAGTAGCGCAGTGCATGAACAGGAGGGCAGTCCGCGAGACACACGGCGTGTCCGCCAGGTTGTGCACATCTGGTCACGGAGGAGGGACAATCGAGCAGAGCGTCAAAAGCGTGACCAAGATCGAGAAACATGGCCCAAATCTATAGATTCAGGCAGTCCATGTCAAATGCATTGACACCCGGCAATCTAGCTGAGGAAGCACTTCACCGTCTGCTGACTACCGTGCCGGAGATGGGAATGGGCCACAACTTCCGAAGTTGCTCTGATCGGTAATCCGTCGAAAGCGGATCCGCATCTCTCACCCGCCTCAAGCTGTGCCTCGCAGCCCGCGAGTCCACCTTGTCCTTGTTCTACGTGCTTTTTCGTGAGCCTGACGCTGCTACCCAAAGGGCCAAGTACCTAGCTTGCTTGAACAGCGCCGGGACGAGTCAGGTCGGCCTCGGCTGACAGCAGCTGAGAAATCAATCGACTCCGTAGGCTCACCTTCTAGCCGACCCGGGTCTGTTCCCGGTTCTAGTGGCCAGTTGAAGAGGAGGGCGCCGACGCTGTCGGGCCTGGCCAGGAAGTCGATCTCCGACGCCGCCCTCCAGATGCGCACGGAGGTACAAGCACTGTAGTGTAGACACTGCATGTAAGCCTACGGAGTAGATACCCAACAGAATCATGGACAAAGATGAATCCAGACCTTGATATGCATGGCGAGCCAGAGACAGCAAGAAGTCGATTGGCGAGGGCTCTCAACAGAGTCACCTCGCCATGCGGCCAAATTTGGATCCTGGAGCGTGATTGGGCCGAGAGGGGCGGCTAGCCGGTCTGCGCATGGCTATATTTAGCAGCGCTGTTGTTTCGCAAACACACTTTTGTTCACATGCAGCAGCCAACCACTGGCTGGAGCGGGCCTCTGCCATGTCGTGACTGGCTGGCCGCATGGATGTCGGCCCCTGAAGGCTGTCGCTATTGGCGAGCACTACCCTTGTCTGCCCCACTCACGCTCCCGCATCCAGACCCGCAAGTACCTTCATAGCGCAAATCCCGCCAGTCCTGCAGTTCCTCACGCCCACCCCTGGCGCGCCCGTTCAGGGCATTTTGCAGGCAGAGCAGCGCTGAAGGGCCGAGGATTTACAAGCCCCCTAGGAGGTAGGTACCGATTGGGGGAGGGGGGGCGTGTGCCTGTGTTGGAACTGATGTATCCCCTGGTCTACTTGGCCCTCAAACCCGTACAAAGTACCTCCTGGGGCTGCCAGTGCGGCGGCAACCACCATCCCACCCCCCTGCCAGTTCTCACAATCCCCTGGTCTCTTTCCCATGCTTCGTCTCTCAATCCTCCTCTCGCCCTCTCTCCTCCCTCATCTTTCGCGCGCTGCGCTCAATGCTGGCGCCAAGTCTGTGTCGTTTGTTGCCGCGATCCTCCATCCTCCACTCACATTCCGTCCTCTTTCTCACTCTGTTCTTCTCTTCTCTTCTCGATTCGCCTCGACTTTGCCTCGACTGAAGTGAAGGCGTGGTTTCGCGCTTCGCTCCGACATCGATTCTTCACTCCTCCTCCGCCTCACCCATCCGTCAAGAGGCACGCAACAACACACCTTGTTCACCACCTACTTTTCTCTTCTCCAGTCACTTCTACTTGGTGCGCAACCGCCGGCCTCTCTCCTACCTGCATTGGCCCTCTGGCTTTGACGCCTGCGTCTTGGGCTAACACATACCTCTTGTTCTCTTTCTTCAGCTCGACGACCATTCAAGCCATTCACTCGGCCCAGCCCTCGAACGGCCACTTCCACTGCCACCCAGTCCCGGCCATCTCGCAAGCGCTTACTTTCTTCAACTTCCCAAGTCGACACTCGCCAGCGATCAACAATGTGGTGACCTTGTTGACCCAACACGACTCTCTGCCGTTCTTCACATCTCATCTGTGTCCTCGACTTCACCCCTCATCGAGCCCTTCTTAAACGCAGCCACTCTCTTCCCAAAGGCAAGCCACTTGCTGGAGCAACCGCTTGTTACATTCACCATCGGGCCAGCCCTGATATCTGAGTAGGCTGCAGCACATTACATGATTGCAGGCTAGTCATTTGAGATAGAAGTCTTGCACCCCGAGCAACACTTTGGAGGAATCAGCAGGACTGTCCGAAGTAACTCGACCTCTTTGAGCCACTTGGCTACCGATCCCTCAGTCTCTCGGTCGTCTGAGAGCCAAGTGCGATTGGAGCATCATCAGAACTCGCCAGGAATTGGATTAGGCAGTCAAAGGGTGACTTGCTTGGATCTCGGGAGGGACCCATACATCAGACTGGCAGTAACTGGTTGAACATGCCTTCAGCTGCTGCGCGACAGTTATACGAGGACCAAATACCCTCGTTCATGTCCGTATTTGACCTCGAGTCCGGGGTCATGGACGGGCAGGGAACTGTCACTGTTGTCGACCCAAACATGATGGAAATCGAGCCTACAACCAAGTTCTCAGGCGAAGCTCAAACACAACTTCAACCGGCAGCCCTTCCTTCAGATCCCTCTCATCAACCCTCAGAGAGCCTATCCGCACGGATGTTTGAGTCTGCCGACTCATCTCCTACGACGACCATGTCATGCACCGATTCCTCTTCTCTCTCGGACCCATCGCCTTCTTCATCCCCCGATTCACCCGTCAACCTGGTCCCGTTGTCGTCTTATCCAGCCTCCAACTTTGGCGGTCTACCTTCAATTGGTGGTCTCACCGTCTCTGATTCAAACCTAGCGCGGCCTATGACCTCGCCCTCGCCGCGCCGCGCGCGAAACATGAAAGGCCTCTCAATACAGCCTCCTTTTGTCAGCAACTCATTGTCTTCTTCGCTCGTCTCCGAGCCCTCATCCCCTTCCTTCATCAAGCCGAAGATTCCTGCCATGAAGAGGAAGCCCAGCCAGCTCAGCCTCAAGACGAGCACTTCCGACTTGGCCAAGGCCACAACTCTAGAGATACCACAGTCCCCCTCTATACCACCAATTCTGCAGCGCCGCGCCTTGAAACACTCCACCTCTTCGCCTCATATGCTTTCTTCTCTGAAGTCGGCAACCTTCGGTCCTGCGGGTGGCATGACGATCCCGACAGTTCTTGAGCGCAACGAGTCCGGCTTGTCCTCGTTCCTGCGGCCACCGAAGCAATCCAACAGTGGTGGATTCGACTCGGCGATTCTCGAGGAGGAGTCCCCGATCCGCACACAAATCGCCAGCCGGGCCGCTTTTGAGTTCGAGCCTTATCATGAGCATGAGAATAACGAGGATCAAAAGACGCCCGGCTATCCGGACGGCCCCATTGCTATTTACGGCGACAATGTCTTCCTCTACCTAGAGCCCACAGCAGAGGAGGCGTCGAGGTTCGATGTGGTGATCAACGTCGCCCGTGAGGTTACCAACCCCTTCAAGGCGTGCCAACAAGCGTCAACTGAGCCAGCTACCGACGACAAGCCGATGGATGACTCGCCGATACCCGATACTGCTGTGACTGCGGCAAGCTACGCCACCGCCTTCGAGTTCCCCCAAGGAGATGCCACGCCAACAACTCCAAAGGCTGTTTCCTTCGCCCTGGCAGAGCCAGAGTACATTCACATTCCATGGGATCACAATACCGATATTTCTACTGATCTGATGAATCTCTGCGAAACCATTGAGAAGAAGACCAGGGAGGGGAAGAAGGTACTGATCCACTGCCAGCAAGGTGCCAGCCGATCTGCGAGTCTCATCATCGCATATGGTCTCTATCAAAACCCGGAGCTGAGCGTCAATGATGCGTACCGGGCCGCACAGTCCAAGAGCAGATGGATCAGCCCAAATATGCGGCTCATGTATTGCTTGCAGGACTTTCAAAAGGAGGTTTCCAAAAAGAAGCTGTCGCCGAACTCAGGCCTCAAGCCGCGATCGGGCCGAAGCCCAACGAAGCATCGAACCACCATGTCAGCATCGGAGGCCATCAGCACTTCACCCAAAGAGCCTCTTACTGCTCCCTTGCCAAGTGAGGATGGGGCCGATGGGAGTGCCAGCCCGGCAAAGAGTCCTCTTCGCCTACGTGGAAACTCTACGCCAAACAGCAGGGACCCCGTGTCTCCGGGCCCGTCATCGGCCCCCTCGAGCTTTTCCTGGACAGAGAAGGAGGACGAGTCGGACCCTCACAAATATGGCCGTTTTAATCTCGACAATACCCAGCTGAAACCCAGTCACCCCGACTCTGGCTTTGTTTCATCTAGCTCCTTGGGCTCGTTTGCCAAGCCGCCGCCATCACCTGGGTTTGGGAGCCACCGTTTCGGCGCACCAGCAGGAGGCTTTGGGTTGGTACCGCTCAACTTCGGAAGCATGGCGAGCATCGATGCCACCCGAGACAAGGCTTCTGGTGACCATCACATGACGGGTCTGAACAGTTATCCGGACGATGCAGCCCTCCTGTCCCCGCGCGTAGAGACAATGACCAACAACCCTCTGCACGGACATTTCACTGAGAGCATGGGTATGCGGTTCATCGAGGTGCCGCCCACGCCAAGTGAGGGCCTGTTTTCCCCGAGGGAGACGATGTTTCCGCGAGATCCATTCTCTCCGTTTGGGCGTCCGCCGCAAGTCGCAGACCCGAGGAGCCCCCCGACCAAGGGCGAGACCCCTATCGTCAGGTCAATCGACGAATTTATCTAGACTCTGTGAGGGCGCATCTTAGTCTATATACTTGACCTCCAGCCCAACGAGAGATACTCAAGATCGAGATATCTATTCATATCAATACCGCACTCGACATCAAATGTTTGAATCAATTACAATCGCTTTACAACATCATATGCATGGTCTCGGAGTTGGTGTCTGATGATGAAATCCTGTGCCGTCGTTTTGATGGTGGAAGCTCTCAGACATGGATCCAAATCCCACCTCGGGCTTTATGAAGCCCCAACAATTCTCATTTGTTCATTTTCCCAACACCGTCAATCACTTCCTGGTTCCTTCTTGGGACCACCCTCTGATCACTTTTGTTCCTGGCAAGCGTGGCACAAACGGATAGCAATATGAGGCTTGGACCGGAAACTCACGAAATGGGGCGCAAACAGGCGACTCGGCGAATTTCTTGAATCACGAAATACCACCACGAAACATAGCGAGACCTGAAAGCTTTTTTTCTTTTTCACTTTGATTCACACATTTTGATTTCTTTCTCGAGTACATCCTAAAGCCAAATGTATAATTGAGGGGCAGGGTTTGGAACTCCTTCCAGACAGGAAAGCAGAGCATGTATGCCTTAACTGCCTCTGACCGGACACCCGGAGCATAAACATACCAGCCAGGCGGTTTGGCGGCATGCTTGAGCCTTCTTGGCTCCGCCTCGAGGCCAGCCACGGAAAGATGACGATACATCGATCGAGTTGCGCGTAGCTCGAGGGAACTGCCCGTGCTGTTGGCATGAAGCCAAAGAGCTACATGACCCTTCCTTCCATCTAGCTAAAGAGCTGCATGGACGGACGAGGGCAATGAAGAGAAGAAAGCGAAGGAGATGAAAGGGGTAGTAAACCCCTTGTGTACATTCACATATCGTCATAAAAAAATACTATTGATAACAAATCATGCACGCTGAGCCACTCCCCCGGGTGATAATACACTGCTCGTCAATGCCTCTCTAGATGGAGTCTAGATATGCTACCCCCTTGCCCAATGACCGCACCTAAGGTAGTTTATACGTGGCTTCCAATACGTCGTCCCTTTTGCCACTAGATGTAGGTCTATCGAAAAAGTAGTCAAGGACTAGAAACAACTTTTTGGTCCTGCAAAAAAACACATGCCCCAAAAACGCCAGGCTTTTCCCCTTCATGCTGCCTGCCTCTACACGCATGACAATGCCGCTTGAGACCCGGAGACCGAGTTCTATACATAACAAAACTTACCAAAACACTTATCCTGTCCATATCACCAACAGAAGAAGAGACACATGCATCATGATTCTCCCTCCCTCCCCCCTCCTCCTTTTTACTGCTTCTTGTTTTTGGCGGCGGCCTGCTTGGCCAGCTTCTCCCGGCGCGTGATCTGGGCCTCGACGCCGATGCCGCCAAAGACGAGGCCGACGCCGAGCCACTGCATGCGCGACAGGCGGTGGCCAAAGGCGACGACGGACAGCATCATGGTGACCATCTTGCGCGTCACGGTGACGGTGACGAGGAAGACCGAGGAGAAGGTGGACAGTGTGTAGACTGGTGGCAGAAAGGGGCATGTCAGCTTTTTTTTCTCCTTTGTTCTTTTTCCTTTTTTTCTTGTTTCCGCTTGAGCGAAACATAAAAGAAAAGAAAAGAAGGAAACTCACAGATAAAGACCTGGCCCACGGCGCCGCACGCCGCAAAGCCCAAGACGTCGCGCCAGACGCCGGGGTGCCGCGCCATAAAGGCCAGCGCGGCCGCGAGCTCGCCGCCGGCGGCGCCCTCGTCCATGCCGACCCAGCGCCCGACGGCCGTGGTAGCGACATAGGGCCCGGCGACGAGGTACGAGGCCGTGACGAGCGTCTGCATGACGTTGTTGGCGCACATCATCTGCGGGCCCGAGTAAGGGCGGAAGGTCTGGAAGATGTAGTCCTGGGTGCTGTTGGTCAGGCCGTCGAAGAGCAGGTTGATGGACAGCAGGAGCAGGCCCCAGGCGGTCTCGCCCGAGCCCCTGCCGCCGCCCGAGTGCTTGTGCCGCTTGCCGCCGTGGAGGGTGAAGACGGCGACGCCGGCGGTCACGGCGGCGACGACGAGGTACTTGTAGAGCGGGTAGCGCTTGCGGAAGACGGTGATGTGGAGGAACATGACGGGCAGCAGCTTGCACGACTTGGCGAGCAGGAAGGTGATGTAGTCGATGTGGGCGAGCGAGGCGTAGCCAAAGGGCGAGGCGAGCGACGAGGTCACGGCGACGAGCAGGAGGGGCAGCAGGATGGCGCGGCTGGGGATGATGGGCGGCGAGCGCTGGCCCCTGGGCGTCGAGGCGGCGAGGTAGAGGAAGCCCGTCGTGGCGGCGAAGAGGGACTGGATGGTGTTGAGGAAGACGGGGAACTTGAACAGCTCGGGCTTGGCCGCGTCGCCGTAGGGCGTCGTGGTGAGCTTTTCCTGGAGGTACGCCCACGTCAGGCTGTTGCCGCACGCACGCACGCCGCGATCGTTAGTGTATGTGGGTTGGGAGAGGAGATGGGCATGCCGATTGATGGTCTCCCGGGCAGGTTATCGCTGCTTACAATGAGGCGTAGATGCCGCCGACGGCGAAAACGACCTGCCTCAAGCCGTTGTCTTGCATCGAGGCTGTGGCCGGCGCCATCTCGGGCTTGCCATTGGACATGCCATTCGGCACAGCGGCGGCGGCGGCGGCGGCAGGATTGGCAGTTCGAGGCACGCGGTCGTGCTTGCCGGTGTATTCCGACGAGACCTGCCTCCGAATGGGAGTCGCCTGCTTTGATCGCGCCATTGCCGCTTCAGGTTTGTGAGACTGATGCTGCGATTCACATGCACAACGGGGTCGGCGCGTCGAGGTTGTACATATAACGATAGAGAGGGGTGTCCCGAGCGAGAACAGCAGGAGCTTGGTCGCCTCTCTTGAAAAGGGGACAGAGAAGCAAAACAAAAAGAAGCGTATGATTTTCGCCAGTCACTGTGTCATTGAGTCGTCTAGAGAAGTCAAGCAGAGGTGGCTCGTGTATGTCTTGTCTGTCTCTGGCTGGCTGGACCTTCGTTTTATGCTACGGAGTAAGCAAATTACTGGCGAAAATGAACAAGCTGGCTTCATCCGATCTGAGCACTGAGCACACACACCAGTTGACCACTAACGTTAGCAGCCACCCCGGGGCACACCCACATGACGGCCCGCCCAAGCAAATCCCCGGCCTAAAGAATGCCTAAAATCGGTACCTTGTACACTAAATCGGAAAATCCCCGCTGGCAAACTCCCAAAAACGAACTACATCACATCAGCATGAGAGGTGCCCCCCAGATCGGCACTTGGTCCTCCGTAAAAGAAGACGAACCAAACCCGAGAGCCGCCCACGCCCACGAGCTAAAATAGGTTGGGTGTGCCCAGGCCGCTGTTGGCTGTCAGATGTCAGGGCACTCCACGTGGCGTCCGCCTCTTATTATCAAGAGCCGCTGACACGCGCTTGAGGGTTACGGATACGAAAATCAGTGGTCAGATTAGCACATGTTTTCCCTCGATCGGCTACGTTTGCTTCCTACGTGAGCTTGGCTTGACACTCTGGCAAAGAGGGAAACGACTCAATTGATCACTTGTACAAAGGCTAGTCTTTGCGCACTAGCCACAGGGTGGATGGCTGTCTTCATGTAGTAACGTAGTACTATCAAGAAGACATCCTCCACATTCAGGGCGACGGAACAATATCCCACAATACAAGCCATATCCGAGAGCACCGCCGTGAGAGGGCGGTGGTTCTGTATTGATAGAGTAGCGAATAAATCTTCGAACAGGTAACGGGGCGGGCAACAACAACAACAACATCCGCCGACAGGGTCCCGAGTACTGGCTGGCGTCGCGTGTGCCGGGGACAATGCCAGCACAAAAATATAAAGCCGGGCCGCACGAATCAACAATCGCCAGGCCGCCGTCGGAGGCATATCGCCCCTCTCATCAGGATGTTGCATCAAGGCGGGGACGAAATGTCTCTCAACGGTCTCGACTTGCCCGAGCTAAGAATCCAGCGAACAAGGTGCGCGTTTTCTTCCAAGAGGCAGTTGTGGTGGGTCAAGACATCCTCCAGAGTGCAAGTCGTATCATGTGAGAAAAGAGAATGCTTCCTGGTATGGAAGCAATGTCGAGCCTGTCGAGAAGAACGGCACGGTCTTCATCCACGGGCGGTGCGGTTCGGGAGGCAGAGACGCAGAGAGGCAAGGAGAATCGGTGTCATGAGAGAGTGAGAGTAGTTAAAAGAGAATATGAGAAGGAGCAAAGTGAATAAATGCTCGTCGAACGAAAAGGGTCAGAGTGTGTGTCTGTGTGTGTGCGCGTGGGTGTCGTCGCATCATTTTGGTACCGTATCTCGCCCGTCAAACAATCAGCCTTGCGGCAAGTCAGATCTGGAAATGCCCCAAAACTTCATGGGTTACCAAATCCGACAAAACAAAACATTTCAAGAGCCCTGTCGCCATGTTCCGACTTCCATTATGTAGTCCTTCCAAAACTTGCAAAAAAAAAAAAGACATGCCGACCAAGCCTACTCCGACGACGCCTGGGCCTGGCTGCGCCGCATCTTCTCAGCCTCCAGGTTCTCGTAGAGCAGAAACAGCGCCGTCTCGTTTGCCTTGGCGCTGCCCATGATCGTGAACATCCTCTCACCAGTCTCGTCGTGGGGGGCCTAGAAGAACATGTGAGCTTGTGTGCGACTCGAGCGCGACGGCGTGGCCGGCGGTTCTCATACCTTTGCAATGGAGATACGTGCACCGGACGTCTTGCGAATCTCACTAATCTTGCTGCCAGCACGTCCGATGATGCATCCAACCATGTCTGCGGGAATGCTGATGTTCTGCGTCTGAATCTCCTCACCGTTCTCATCGTGCGTGGGCACTCCGCGGGTGGCTGCATCAGAATCAGACCGGCGATTAAACGAACGTGGACCGCCGTTGCTAAAATCGGCGCCATTACCTGTCCGAGTAACACGAGGGGAGCCATAGTCTCCCCTGCTAGGCGAGCCGTAGCTCACTCCGCCACCAAGACTGGAACCAGTCGCGCCGGGCTGGGTTCGCACGACGGGGTTGTAAAGAACAGTGCCGGTTCCTCGCTGCCAGTCATCGACGAGGCACTTGCAGATCTCCCACACAGCGCGCTGGATGCCCTCGGGGGTACCCTGGACCTCGACGATCCGCTCGGTCGATTGCGGCAGCATCTCCTTCTGGGCTACCATTCGCACGCCGGATGCATCTTGAATGTGCTTGATCTTGAGGCCTTGTCGGCCAATGATGGTGCCCATCTGGTTGTGGGAGATGAGAAGCTTGAGAGCTGTTGTGAGAGCAGTTGATCAGCATCGAGTATGAAAGGCATAGTACAACCAAACGCTGCCGAGGGTTATGAACAGCTTGGTAGGACGGAGAGACTTACGGTGCGTCCCGTTGCCCTGAATGACTCCACCCATGCCCATGGCTGGAGCGCCTTCGAGCAGCGATCGAGCCACGACAGCATAGGCCTTGGAGACCGGGTCGCAACCGCCAGTGATAGTAAGCACACGGTCATGAACTCCCTGCACGACCTTGCTGACTCCAGCCTTGACACCAGTCTCCTCTCGCAGGTCGGCAACGTTCTTGCCGCCCTTACCGATAATGACGCCGGCCTCTTTGGAAGAGACAATGGCCCTCAGGGTGAGCTGCGCTTGCGCGTATTCCTCCTCCGTCTTGGGGGCAGGCTCCCCGTCGGGGCCGAGGCGTGGCTCGTCATCGCCCACCTTAAGGTGGTCCAGGCCCTCGACCAAGTCGCTACCGGCAGGCAGCATCTGATCCTGAGATAGAGACATGTCGCTGTCGAGAAAGGGTCGTGGGGAGAGGTTGAGCAGGAATACAAGGGCTCGGAGGAAGCTCTCGAAGGGTTGTTTGGGTTTGTCGCTACGGGGGAGAGTCAACAAATGAGCTCAGCGAGGCGAATAGAGTCGCGGAGAGTGCAGCAGATCTGCCGTCGCAAAGTCTGGAGAAGGTGTCAGCCGGGTGCTTGCATGCAGCAATTGAATTGGCATGTGGCTAGGAGGACGTCGGGCGTGGGCGAGGGGTCTGCTGTCGGTGTGGGGGGGGGAAGAGGAAACAAAGTGTCGCGGAGCTTGAATCGCGCGATACCCTGGACAAGCGATGGTGGAGGAGGAGGATATGGAGAGGGTGTTGCGCACAAAAAAAGGGCATCAATAGCGCAGACGAGGAAAATCGGCGAGCCAGTCTGGCGGGGCAGGGTGCGTACCTATTAGGAAGCGCGTGGACAGACAGGCAGGTCAAACAAGCGTGTGATGGTGGTGGTGGAGGAGGTGGTAAGGATTTGCGAGCGGGGCAGATGTGTGATGGGCGGGCGGGCGATGGGGGGGTGGTGGTGGGAATGGGTAGTGGGTGAAGTGGGAGTGAGAGAGCCCTTGAGTGGTGAGGATGGATGATGATGGGGTGGCAGCCCGGGTGGCAGTTGCAGTGGTAGTGCAGTGCTAGGAGAGTGGACGGTGGCCTGGTGCGGTCAAGAGTGGATTCCCGCTTGGAGACGGAAGGACTGCTTGGTGGTGCGTGCGCTGCCTTTTTGGCGTGGCCGGCTGCAGAAGCTGGGGACTCGAGTGCTCTCCAGCCAAAGAGGGAGAGCTCTGGCGCAGACTATGGTGGGAGGGATGACCGGGGTAGGCAAGGTAATGCAGACAAGGTACCTTTGCAAGCTCGGAATGCGAGGCAATGTCTCTTTTTGGGAAGATGAGCTGTGTCTTGGTCTCCTCCCTTGGTGATGTTGGAGAGTCGGGAGACGACAGATCGAGGCTGAAGAGTTGGAGTGCGGTCTCGAGAGAGAGAGTGAGGAAGAGACAAAGGTTCGGCTCGGCTGGTGGAGAGTTGAGGAGGAATTGATAAGAAGATGGCGTTTGTGTAGAGAGAGATGGAGAGGATGAGAGAAGAGACGGGGAAGGTAGAGAGAGAAGAGATAGAGAGCTAGAGAGGGGGGGGATGTGTGCGAGAGGAAGAGAGAGGAAGAGGATGCGGAAGGACAGGGAGCCGTAAAGACGTCTCGAGAGTCGGAGGATGAGGAGAGGTGTAGATGAAGGGATGAGGCTACTGAAGTGCACAGAGAGGAGAGAAAAATGTGGGAGAGGTGAGGGCGAGTTAGACAGGCGTTAGTGCTTCAGTACAGTGGCTCAAGATGCGACTGTCAAAGGGACTACATAGGGAGGTAGTAGTCCAGGACTTGAGGTGAGCCCAGCCCGAGGTGAGAGCAATCCAGTCCCGCCAAGCGATTAGTTACTACCTTCGTACCTAGGTACCCAAATAACTCTGTGGCACCTGCTGTGGGTGCTCTGAGCTCTGAGCTTCAGGGTTCCAGACTGATGGGTGCGTTAGTACAAGTAGTACCTCTTGATTGACGAGCAGAACAGTTGGTTTCTCCCCTTCCTCAACGAGGTGCGCTTCCGAGGCAAGAGGTTACGACAATGTGCTCTCTTAACAGATCAATCTTGGACCTGGCTGCAATGATCACCATTCAATTCCTTCCTCCCGCGACAAGACGGGCACGCTCACGGCACCTTGGATGATCATACCTAGGTATTCAAGCCATGCAGCTCGGAACAGATGAATCAGAGCAAAGAGAAGCACCAGATGGCGCTGATTTGCCCATTTTCCGTCCACTTTTTCTCACTGCCGTGCAAGGGCAGGGTTCAGATCTCTACCTAGCACCCTAGGTAGGTAGGTCCCTCTGGGATTCGGCTGCCCAGGTACCTCTCCATCTCGACCGTCCGTGTTTGTTGCACTTGATGTTGTTTGCTTGAACCACTATCCTCGCCCTACTTACCTTTCCTCTCACTCTCACTCTCACTCTCGACTCTTTAGCAGCAATCCATCAACATCTCTGGCAGCCACGAACCATTCCGGATTGATGTCCCCTCGCTCACTAACACCTGCATTCGTGGATCCGCAGCCCCACAGGCTCTGCACTTGCCTTCAATATCACCTCTCGTCCTCCACCGCTATTACCACACTTTGGAGAGAGCTCGAAAAAAAAAGAGTCGCAGATCTGATGCCTGAGCCTAAGGTACCTCCTCCGTATATGTACCAGAAATCCCTCGCCGCTGACGCTTGTCCAAAAGTGCAGCAAGCTAGTCCCTAATGCTCGGCTGCATTTGGACTTCAACATGCTCGGTATCTTCGAGGTTCTGGCCTCGAAAGCTTGGGCACTCGGAGCAGGCACAGTATCTCCACCCCGAAGCCCTTCAGACTCCTCCGATGTCACCGTTGCACCCTCCCGATAGCTTCCTGCACTGCACCTCCGGCCTATATCCTCTTCCATCTTCCCCACCCCGTCCAAGGCATGTCATGTCTGTGCTCGTAGGTAACTTGCCTGGCTTCTCGAGACGGCCGCGCCTTGCCGCAACAAAAGGGCTTGGACTTTATACACGCCTACGAAACCTCCAAAAATCACATATTGATCCGATCAGATACATCGTGATTCCCTCCAGGCCAGAGAGTGGCCGACACCCAGCCGACCCTGCGGTGCAACGCGATGCTGCAGAGCCCGCAGCCGGAGCCCACGGATCGAGAGCCCCGATATTGCCTGATTGCACTGATTGCAGCAGCTACCCCCCCAAGGAGACCGGTGAGGACAGTCCCCTTCTCTGCCGTTTGGTTTTGTATCTTCCCTAGGTACGGAGTCCCACACAGCGAGAGGCCCGGAGCACAGAGGCCCATCCATCCCTGCTCGCGCATCACTCGGCCCTGGCTTCCCTTGTCACCCCATGTCCATGCCCTCCTCCCGCCGACTGGCTTGCTTTCTGGACCAACCACACCTCGTACGCACCATGCCGCATATGCCCTGCAACTCTCTGCCCGCCCTCCGGCCCCGGGCATGTCCAATGCTCTCTGCTCTTGTGTGCACACACTCACATATCTTTTCGCACCAGCCTCTTCTTTTTTGTGGGATTGGCCTGTAGGAGTACCTTGTTGGGCCCACCGAGACTGATAGTCCGGGTCCCTGTTTGGCCCGTCTCGATACTTGACTGTTCGCAAAGTAAGAGGCAATCTCACTCGCTCACTCGCCGTCTGGGTCATGCGGCCTAGGAGGCGGGCATGCCACTTTGCTTCATGCACCCTGCAGTGAATCCTCCACAGACCTCGTGGCTTATGGCTAGCCCAGAGCTTCAGCCGCGCACTTGGTCGATCCGTCTGACTGGGTTTGTGCTCGACATTTTTGGCAGATTCGAGTAATTGGGCCCAACCAAGTAGACTGGACTACCTAATCAGTTAGGGGTTCCAACGTGACAATACTTCTATGGAGGGCTCGTGATCTGATGCAAGATGTCCTCTGTCAGCGAGAAGTGCGATTGATGAGAAAGCACCTGCCACCATAAGGTACTTCTAGGGAGTACTTGCTGGTGGACTACCTACCTAGGTATGTAGTTAGGTACCACAGAGACGGCGACGACACCTCTTGGGAGTTGTCATGTCGAAGATGTAATTGCAACTTGCCTTGGCTCTAGTCATGTTCCAATTTACCCAAGTCCTTGTTCTCTGGTCGGTCTGATACTAAATGCCAAGATAAGCTTTGCTTTGGTCTCGTTGGTCTACTCGTGCCTAGACCTCGTCGTGGCATGCGCACAAGGATTGAAACACCTCGACTACTACCAGAATTTAGGCCTGGTTGAGCCTCACCGAGTCCGAACCCATGATGCAATCTTTGGTGGGCCAACTCCGGACGCGACACTACAAGTACTCCTCCGTATATTCCCCCAAGGTTTGCCCGAGGGCATCAAAGCGCATACACTCTCCGCCTACGAGCTCTCTGCCCACAAACTCTCCGGCCACAACAATTTTCTCCTCCATCGAACAGCATCCTCCAGGAGACACCACCTACAAAAGATCCAGGAGATCCCGCATAGTCTGTACCACACGTGAGACAGCTTGCCGAACACCGAGGAAGAAGCCTCTACAAAGCGAGGCCACAGAGTCTGTCGAAACCAAAACCCTTCATCATCCACGTCTCTATCAAGAAATACTTCATCAATATGTCGTTTATCAACAGACCGGTCTATACTCGTATCCAGGACGCAGCCTTCTTTTCCCTGATGGCTGGTATGGGGCTTGTGCTTTTTCTGGCAGCGGGACGAGCACTCGCCTCTAACCAGCGGGCCCCTGGCGAAGTCGATATTGGCATGCTGGTTGCAGCAATACCATTCGGCACTCTTGTTTCCCTTCTGTTGGCCCTTGCCATCTGCTCGTTACTCGAACCGTATTCTCGGTATGCGCGGGATTTACGAACTTGGTCAGATCACTGGGTGGGCTACAGTAGCTGGGTTATCGCCAGAATTATCTGGTCCCTCCCGACGTATACAGTCTACTGGCTGGCTTATGGCTTGTGGGCGGCTCGGTACACGGTTTGGTTCTTACGTCGATGGCTCGGGCGCTAGGATGTTATGCAGGCATATGATCTTTGGAGTGGGAAGGCAAACGGTCAAGTTTTTAGAAAGTCGGAATGGATTGATATTAACCAGCATCTCTCGAAACATCATAGACGGGCAGGTACTATGAGCGGGCAATTCCCGTTGTCAGTAATTCACATCAGTTCACGGCAGCTACCAACCAAGGGCAGCAAGGTTCCTATAATATAACTGGATACTAAGCCTTTCCAACTGAGTTGACAAGAACAAGCCAGAGTGCACTTTCAGAACAAGAAGGGGCACAGGAACAAGCCTTATATCTCCTGAACAGCGAACATGCAATATCTAGTCACTTCGTAACTGCTGCGTAAGAACTATGAAGGACTGATTCCTTCTGTCAAGGAGCAAATATAACTTCTTCAGGATGGAGACTCAAGGTTTCAACACAGTCGTATATTGGATCTGAGAAGGTTCGAAGGATACATAGTTTGGCCCGTATTACGTCGCCGCTCGCTGGACAAGCAAATGTTCGACTCGTAGCACAGGAGTTAGCTGCCTGAGCCCCTGTAGCTAGGTGGACGGTAGTAAGATGAATTCTCAGTAGTCGGGCTGTATTCCTCTGGCTGCGAGGATGGCAGGCAATAAGGCCAGGAACAGTAACACAAGCTTTAGTTGATGCGAATCAATACATTTTGAGGGGTTGATGAAAGGGCTTAGAGTTGATACATATTCTTGACCAAACTACTATGGTTTATGCGGTGGTTGAAAGGTATTACTTAGGTCAAGTGACTTAAAAGAGTAACCATCAAGAGCTGTCTTGATGTTCGCGTCAGCTGGTTGCAGCCCCTGTCAGCCCGTCATAGCCCGCAAGAAGCGGCTCGGTATCAAATGGGACGTTGTTAATCTCCGTTTCAGGAGGGGTAAACGGTGCTGGATTAGTATTCGAGTTCTCGCTCGAGAGCGACGACCCTTTTAGCATTCTGCTAGAACATCCAGTTTACGACTCCCCAAGTTGCCCATGTAGATCGCTGTTGTGTCTGTAAGGCGACCGAAAGCACACCCTCCCGAGCCGACAGACAACTTCTATGGGCAAAATGTCTTGATCTGCACATTTGCTGCCCGCACACAAGCTGTGCTATCCGATGTTCATCTCTATCTGGATCGCAGCTGGACCTCGTGCTCGATCCAAAAGTTCCTGCAGGCCCTGTGCCCCCAGTGCTCAACCCACCACTCCCCGAAGCTGTCCTCGACCTCAAAGTCCACGCCCTTGACCCTCTCCTCCCGCTTCAGCCCGCAGACTACGCACGCCTTGGCCGCCGTCGGCACCATCTTGGCCGTCTGCACCGGCAGCGTCTCGGCCACCTCGGGCACCCTGAGGCTGCTCACCGACGACGACGAAGACTCTGCCGCCGACGACTTGGCCGTGGCCACGGCGCTCCGCAGCCGCCCGACGTGCCTCCTCCACGCCGCCACGACGTCGGCCGCCTCGCGGTCCTCGCGCGCCGCCTGCGCCCGGTCCACGCCCGCGAGCTTCATGCCGCCGCCCCTGCCGCCCGCGGCCGAGATGGACATGCTCTGCGCCAGGAACCGGTCGCGGTGCCAGCGCAGCTTGCGGCCCGCGAGGACGCGCGCCGCCACGGCCGCCAGCAGCACGTAGGCGGCCAGGAACGCGGCCGTCTCGGGCGAGGCGAGGACCCGGTTGCGCACCGCGGCGGGCTGCGCGGACGTCGGCTCGAAGATGGCGCTGTCCAGCAGGTCGAAGAGGGACGGGAATATGGACAGGAGGATGGAGGGCGGGGGCACGTTGGTCGGCGGGGGCGTGTCGTCGGGGATGGATGAGGTTGTAGGAGCCGCTGCCGGCCCGGACGCCGCGGACGGCTCGTCCGCTTCGTCCCAGCCCCAGTCCGCGGCGGGCTCGGTGGCCTTGGCCGGTGGCTTGGGCGCCGGCTTGGCCTTTTGCTGTAGTTTCGTAGAGGTGGACGTTTGGCTCTGGGCACCGGCATCGAGGGCGTCCCATTCCCAGCCCAGATCTTGCTTGGCAGGTGTGGTTTTCTGGCCCTTTTGTGAGGCAGGATCGTCGAAGGCAGCCCAGTCGGCAGCCCAGTCATCTTTGCCGGTGACATCTGCCTTCTGCTCCACCGAAGGCCAGACAGTAACTGGGGAAGGCGATTTGGGCTTGGCTGGGACTGGAAATTGCTCGGCTTTCGGCGTCGTTACCGCAAGGCCAGGGAAAGGATTGCGCTCTTGGAACCCAGGCGACTTGGGGGCTTGGGGGTACTGGTTGAAGCTGGTATTGTCTAGGCTTAGAGTAGATATGAGTTGACTGGGAGGTTGCGTTTTGGGTGCTGGTTTGGAAGACAAGGATGAGGACCAGTCCGAGGACATGAGGTCTAGAGGTGGCGCTGGAGGAGGTGCCGCCGCTCCTGTTGCGTTCGACGATGTGCCTGTCTCGAAGTCCCCAAAGTCATCCTCCTCGTTGTCGTCGTCATCGTCGTCTGCACCACCAAGCTCAAAATCATCAGCGTCAAACAACACATTCGGGTCTGTGTTCTTGGGCCTTGGCCGAGCCACAGGTTTCTGCTCCCATACAGGAGGCGCTGGGGCGGCCTGGACACGTGGACCTGGTGAAGGTCCCATGTCCACCAGGCTGTTGGTCATTAAGTCCATGGTCGATGCGCGAACAACGCGAGTTCGCTGGATAGCCGGCGGCTGGGGCGGCGGTTGTGAAGAGGCCGTAGACTTGTATAAGTGGTCAAAGGAAGACGGTGCTGGCATGTTTGCCTGAGCCGTCACTGGTTGGGACGGGACTTGTTCCTGTGAGACAGGAGACGCTATTTCGAAGTCACCCCATCCATCGTCGTCTTCCGCGGTTGACGTGGTTTTGGCTTGAGCCGCAGGGGCGGTATGACTGCCCGCCACATCAGTCCAGCTGTTTCCTTGAAACCCGGAACTTGGCTGTGTCTGAAAGCTTGGCCATGGCGCTGGAGTCTGCGCCGGCTGTTGCGATGTAGTGGGACTGAGGAATGAGAAAGGGTCATTCACTGGCTGTTGTGCTTGAGGGTTTGGTGTTCCAGTGGTTTGTTGTTGTTGCTGCTGCTGCTGCTGCTGTTGCTGCTGCTGAGGAGTTCCGGAAAAGCTGGCGAACTCGGCAAAGAGGTCGGCCGACATGGTTGGTGTTCTGAGGTGGCAGTCCCGGGGCGGGCCTGCGTGAGAGAAATGAGACGTGTGACCAGTCCGTAATTGACTGGCCCTGTGAGACACGCATTCAAGGATGCATTGAACGCGTGTGCGGTCTTCTGGTCCGGAGATCCTGGACTTCAAGCCCCTGACATTGGACGAGGCTTGCTGGCTACTCTATGGCAGAGGAGATGAGATGAAGTTCACGGGCTACTTAGCTGATGAGTGAGGAGCTTGGCTGCGTGATCGGTAGCCAGTCCCTGTACCCACCCGGGCAGGTTTAGAAACACCGCCGCTAGTCCATGGGTGGGGCTACCTAGGTAGCTCACCATCTCGCCCAGACCCGCCAGGAACAACGACGCCTCGTGCTTGTCACTCATTCATTCGGCGCAGCCAGCTCCTCAAACCAGATCGTTGTCAATGCTATGATGACTCCTCCGAGCTGCTAATACTCTCTTGTTAAATATGAGAGCATTCCAGCCCGCTCCCTGAGATCAACAGAACAGTGAAGCGCCGCAGATCTCTCATCGCCACTACGTGATTTCCATCCCATTGATAGCGGAAGCTGGCCTTTCGTTCCACCATGAGATCCCCTGCTGAGTGCAAGTGAGTGTTTGGGCCGAGTCTCCTTCTCACATACAGAGTTCTGACAGGCTTTCAAGGTCACGCTGGGACGAGACTCTGAACCACAATTCCAGCCTCGCCAACTTACAGAGGGCTGTCAAATTTAACGGTCCTAACAGCCCTTGTGTTGCGGGATGTAGATCAGTCTGCTGGAAGGTATGTTGTATCGTGGCTTTGAGTGGCTGGTCTCGACACCTCCGAAGTGATATCCTGACAGAATCAATGCCAGGTCTTCCTTTTATTCCGCAACGTCAACGCAAACAACTGGTCAAACGACCTCCATGAGTCCAGGAACACGTACAGTGCTCTCAAAGATCATTACCTCAAGTATATCAAGCATCCGGAGAAGCTCGCGGAGCTTTCCGTAGATCCTCTCACCGATGATCCAGAGGTATAAAGACAAGCCCATGGCGAATGCAGGGGTGGCTCAAAAAGCTGACTCTCCTCGTCAAGTCTCCATGGGATGCACTCCGCCGGGATGAGGTCGTCCGTGCCGAGATCTTGCAGGATGTTCGGCGTTTACCGGATGAGCCTCTTTACCACCAAGAGCAAGCTCAGAATCTCATACTCGACATCCTCTTCATTTACTGCAAGCTCAACCCCGACATCGGTGGGTACCGCCAGGGGATGCATGAACTTCTTGCCCCTATCTTCACCGTGATCTATCAAGATGCGCTGGAATACAGTGGCTCCGAAACGGAAACCTCTCTGGACACAGCCATGGTGGAGATGCTAGATGTCAACTTCATCGAGCACGATGCATTTACTCTATTTTCCAAGCTGATGGAAAAGGCCAAGAGCTTCTATGAGATGAGCACCCTACCAGACATGGGCCAGTCTAGTGTCGGCTCAACTGAGCAAAGCACAATCGTCGAGATGAGCAGGAGAATACACGAAGAAGTCCTCATGAGAGTAGATCCAGAGTTGGCACAACATCTCAAGGCCATCGAGATCCTCCCTCAAATATTCTTGATGTGAGTCCGACAGCGATCACGAGCCGGCTCGCTGCCATGCTAAAGGTTATCTCTAGTCGCTGGGTCCGGCTCCTATTCGGGCGAGAATTCCCTTTCGAGCAACTCTTGGTCCTTTGGGATACAATGTTCGCATTCGACCCTGACCTGAACCTCGTATCCCTCGTTTGTGTAGCAATGCTGATAAGGATACGCTGGACATGTAAGCTAGGAGCGCGTCCTCTGACTCTGATAAACGCATTACTGATTTGTTTTTGTCTAGTGCTGGAAGCAGACTATTCAGTCGCTCTGCAATTGCTTCTCAAATACCCAGCACCCCAAGCACCTCACGGCCCTCACACCTTCGTAGACGATGCCGTCTACTTGAAGGACCACCTGAACACCACCGGCGGAACCAACTTAATCCTGAAATACACGGGCAGAGCCCCTATCAACAACCCTGCTCATCCAAGGCCAACGACGCCCACATTTGCAGGGCTGAATTTGCGCTCTCGAACGCTCGGTGCTAGGTCGCCGCTGGCCTCTTCTGCACGCTTTATACAGAACCCGGGTGCCGTGGAGGCCCTGTTCCAAGGTGCTGCTAGAAACGTCATCGAGCGCGGCGAGAAACTGGGTATCAACCAGGCCGTTAGGGATGCGATGGGGGAGATCCGGAAGAACATGCAGGGGCTGCATGCAGACGCTCGACATTCTGCAAGGGCGAGTCGGGATTCCACCGCGGGGGACACCCACTCTCCATTCTATTCAGCTGTGGAAATGGAACGAAGAAATAGGCAGCTCGCAGCCATGCTGGATGAGGCCATCGCCAGCTTGAAGTCCATCACGGCCAACATGCCCGGGGGCGTCAAGGACGCCCAGGCGGAAGCCGTCGACATGGCCGCAGCGAAGGTCCAGTTCGTCAAGATTCACCTCGAAGACCCGACTTTGTCCCTCGCCCCGGAGGACGAGACGATGGAACCCCCGCCCCCGCCCGCGCCCGTCAATGCGCTTTCGTTCACGTCAAACAAGGAGAATGTCGCGCCGATCGTCGCAGTTGACAGGACCATGGTCACGGCATCCACGGCACCTCTTGAGACGCCGTCAGACGAGGTCGAGAGACTCGACGACCCTCTCAGCCGGCCGTCCGCATCACACCCCCCGGTCCAGACACAGAGTGGCCACGCCGCCACCCAACCCGTCGTGGCAGATAGCATCGAAGCCGACGACGACCCGATGGAGACGGATGAACCACCCTCCCAACAGACCAACCCGGCTCCCGCGCGCCGGCCCCCGTTGCCGACCGCCGCACCCGCGCGTCCCACAGGCCCCATCCCGACGCGCTCCACGCTGGCGCAGTCCTCCTTCGCCTGGATGCTCGAGCCAGACCAGACCAGCTCCTCGCACGACCCCTTCGAACCGCCCAGCAGGCGGCGCGCGTCCAGCCGGCCCTCCTCGTCCTCTAAATCCTCCGGCGGCGGCGGCGGCGGCGGCGCGGCAGCCCAGCACCGGAAACGGACCTCCGGGTCCGGCGCCGCGAGCCGGGAGCGTAACGCCTTCCTGTTTGGCGAGGTGGTGCCGTCTGCGGAGGGCGCGGGTGGCGGCGGCGGCGGCGGCGGAGGTCTCGGGCCGCTGACCTCGGACGAGATCTTTGGCCTGGAGCCGTTGAGGAGGGCGCTGCCGAAGCCCAAGGGGCTCTGACGGCGGCTTTCCCCGGCGTGTCATGAGAGCTGGTATGATACGGGAGAGGTTGGAAGGGGCATGGTTTTGGGCTTTCGTTGCTGTATACATATACCTAGAATACAGTGAGCGGCGTTGTGCACTTCTGCTTGCTGTCTCATTCTTTCCTCAGGGAAACTTTGTTCCCAACAGCATTTTGACGAGACAGTTGATCGAGGCTGATTTTTGCAGTTGTACACCAAAAAAAATGCGCTTGTAGCATTATCTCTCGCTCAGCTTCTATCAAGATAATGTATGCAATCTGGCCCTCAATGCTCGAATGATCAAAACACAAAACCGACCGCCCGCTCCCCATCATTCCGTTCCGCTCACTGCCCTCCCTCGCTCGCTGGGGTTGTCGAAAGTAGATGACCCAGCGTCTCAGAATGTTTTAAATGCCCAACCAACCGCCCGTGTGTATGCGCCGTGTTTCCCTCCCCATGCATTGCGGCTGAATAGATTTCTAGAACCTCTCTCAAAAGCTTCCTTCCCAAGTTCTCCCCGTCCGGGCGTGGCCCGGATGTGTGTGTCTAATACAGTCTCAATCTTTCCTATTCCTACGCTGTATATTCTCCATCCATCCCCCCGGGGTATAATGCACCAAGCGTTTGAAGAAGAAAAAAAAAAAGAAAACATGTATATGGTCTACCGAGAAGCCTCTCCTCGCCGTTCCCCTCTCCGTCCCGGATTCCCACACGTCGCATTCGTCGCTCATTTCAGTCCATCTGACACCACGGGTGGTTGATGACCTGTGTGATATCATACCTTTCCTCGACGTTTCGATTGAGCATGTTGCGAATCAAGTCGATGCTCTCCTCGCTGATGATGTACGGTATCCTCAGATCACGATCCATGATCTCGTCAATGCTGTAGAACGGGTTCTCCTTGTAGATGATGGTGTAGAGGAGGATGCCCAGGGCCCAGACATCTTGCTCCTTGCCGCCATACGGTTTGCCGTTCAGCACCTCTGGTGCTGCGTAATCTAGAGTGACGGTGGTTAGTACAAGGGCTGTTGAGGTGAACTCCAGAACAAGTGTTTCAGCTTACCAATGGTCCCTACAAAGACATCAAAAGGACCACTCTTAATGTACGCAGCGCTGCCAAAGTCGATGAGCTTGATGACGCCCTCACCATCGAGAATGACATTCTCGTCCTTAATATCACGGTGCACGACGTGCGCCTTGATATGAAGGTGATGGATCGCCTGAGCAACCTGGACAAAGATGCTCCGGCACTCCTCTTCTTCCATGTTCGTGCGCAGCTCGATATAGTCGAAGAGATCCATACCCGGGAGCCCGTGGGGCGCCATCTCAATGTAATAGTTCACGTTGTCTTCGAAGAAGTCCTCCATCTCAACAATGTTCGGGTGGCGAAGGCCGTCTCTATGTAGGTAATCAAGAACGTGAATCTCCAAGGGAACGGTGCCGAGCCGACGGTCCCTGGTCCAGGTGTCGACCAGGATACGCCGCTTGGTGACGTACTTGAGGACAACCTTCTTGCCGTTGTTCTTGTACCGCGCAAGCTTGACTTGACCATAGGCTCCCTGACCCATGTCCTCGAGGATGACGAAGTCGTCAATCGTCTTCTTGTGTGGAGGCTCGACAACCTTTGGCACCGGCGGCTTGTCTGCGCGTTCGGCTTTTGGCGTGCCAGTGATCTTCGCAGCCGCGCTGAGGGCTACGTCTTTGATTTGCTTCTTGATCATAGCAGCCGACGACTTCTCTTTCTTTGGCTCGTCCGAGTCGGAGCTCATTTCATACGGCGTATGCACGGGAGTCTGTCCTGGTGAGGGCTGGTGTGGGGGCGTGGCCGTTCCCGTCAGCAAAGGTGATGCGGATCCCAGGTTCGTTCTCGAGGCGTGCAGATGCCTCGAGTAGGTGATCCAGAGCGCATACACCATCTCCGATTGCGTGGCGGAGAACTTCTCGTCGTTTGTGGCCGACGGCGAGTCCTCATCGCTAACTTCCTCCAGTACTGTTTGCTCTTCGATCGGCGCCTGCTTGTCGCTCTTGACGACTCGCATCTGGACGTCTATCCTGAGCTCAGAACCGTCGCGATGTTTTCCTGGAAGACCCTCTGGCCTCAGGAAGCTAGTGGCCGCATCCGGTCGGCCTTCCCGGAGGGCAAGGAAGGCAGACGCCTTGCGGAAGCTATGTTCAGGCACCACCATCCCATCCACAAGGTGGATACCATCTTCTTCGGTCAAGATGCCGAGAACCTTATCGAAGTCTGGAACAAGGGTCTTGATGGACATGCCATTTGGTTGTTCGTGTCCAAACAAAGCGCCACAAAAGACCGAGTTAGAGCTCTTGATGGTCAGATCCTTGGTTGACACAACAACTATGCCAGCAATATGCGGAAAGCTCGAGACTCGTAGCTCAGCCTTGCCTCGCACCTGCTCGACGGTCGCGGGGATGTTGATCCGCCCAGAGTTCCGGCAGGTATAGAACCTGTGCTTGGCGATCTGTGCATAGTCAATGGCACCGTACCTTGGGTCAATGCCTTGCCGGGGGATACGCGGTATCAGACGGCCGATATCAGTGCCTGACCGCAGATTGTCGTCTCCCCAGATCGGCCCCAATGCACCGGTGAGACTTGAAACAGTGCCTTCTTCATCAACAGTGACGTATGCAACATCTTCATGGATCTCTTCCAAGACCCATATCAATCCCACGCGCTTCTCCTTGACCCACAGACTTGCAGACCCTGTAACCCCGTTCCGTTTCTGTATCGGTACAACATCGCCACACAGGAGAACACCTCGGGGTTTGTTTGCGTTATGACCACCACCGCTGGCCTGAGGCGGTTTTGGATCACCGCTGTGCACTGTTTTGGCCTTGAGGGGTTGCTTTGGTGCTGTCCGAGAGTTGGGCTTGCTCAACAGTCTTGCCGTTATGCCTCCGCCCCGTGAACCCAAGAGAGATGAGGCTGCGATGGTTGGGGGTGGTTGTTGCGTCAGACCCCGGGTTGCATTGTCGTCAATTTCGTGGTCAGCATGCTTGAGTTTCTTTTCTAGCCAAGCCCGTCTCTCTTCTTGCACGACCTCGAGGATACCCATCTTCCGCACTTCAGCCTTGGTGACACCAAATACTAAGCACGCCAGATCATTGGCTGCGATAATGGTCCATGGAGGTTTCGACTCGGTGGTGAAGATTGCCTGTGCCGCTGGAACCCAGCGCGCCGCATGTCCGTGGACCGCTGGCGATATCGAACCTGGAGCGTTGATCGACGATGGGAATTGGGATGTGTTTGGAGAGACTAGTGGTTCGATCGAAGCGGCGTGGGCGGCCACAAACGGCTGTGCCATTGCATCCATCAGCTTTTGCTGCACAGACACGTGGGCAGTGTCGGTGATTGTCCTCTTGATGAAGCTGGGCCTCCGCGAAGGAGGCGGCGAGGTTTTGGCAGTAGTCCCGCTCTCATTCGTAGGCGTCCGGGATGACTCGGCCGAGTCCGAGGTTCCAGAGTTGGCCCCCGGTGCGTTCGATTCGTGATTCGCCGTTAATGGGGGAAGCTCTTCATGTAGTGTAGGCACAGTAGGTTCTGGCAGCCTCGACGGTTTGGGAGACGCTCCGGGCGAAAGCAACGGTTCAGGACTCGCAGTCCGTGGGATGAAGTGCTTCTCGAACACATTCTCTCCTGACATGTCGGCCGGACCCGTGAGGGGTGCCACCGCGACATTGTCAGGATTTGGCAGGTTTCCAGCTTCGACAAGCTTGGCTCTTGCCAACAGATCCAGAGTATTTAGCATCTCCATATCTCCGTTCACGCGTGCCTGGGCGCTCGCGAGCGCGGCGTTCGATTGCGCCGACCACCCCATACGGTCCTTCATAAACTCTAGGGAACGCTTCAAGACATTCTGGCGGCTGTGTAGCAAGTCCTCCGACTGCGTGGCGAAGGAGAAGGAGTGGAGGGACTCGGAGGGAAATCGTGACAAGTCCTCAGTGAAGGTGGGTGAGGAGGGCCCCGGAGATAAGGCGAGACTATTGGCATGCTGAACCATGGCGGTCATAGAGGTGGACCGGGGGAGGCCGACCGATGAACTGCGAGAAGAAGACGAGGACGGAAGTGTGGGAGCGCGGACGGCGTGTTGCTGCCGTATGCGGCGGAGGCCCGAAATGCCTAGGCCATGGTCGTGATCGGTCATGATGGGGGTTCGACTAAAGGTCCAACTGTGAGAGAGGTTTCCAGAGCGTTACGGCGAGGGTACGGTATGTATGTGGTGCATGTGATCCAACGAGCCCGCGTGATATGCGCGACCAAGACATGGCCTTCAAGGTGGCTTACCTCGCAAGAGAGTCATATTCTGCTGCTGCTGCACCGGCATCGAAGGAGAAACGTATTCGAGCTTTCTCGGACGTGTCCCCGTGTGCCGCGAGGTTCCCTGTGCTCCTATTCTTGGGGATCTGCAGCGGAGGCGCGAGTTTGCTCCGGCCACGATCCTGCCCATCGTGGCGTTCATTGGCGGCTGGTTCGTTGTTAGCCCTGGCTTGTCACAACCAGTAGTGACGGAACAATCAATTCACACCTTTCTCCTGATCTGCACCATGTATATGGAGCATACTTGATGGCAGGAGAACCGCTCAGTCTCTACCAGGGTCAAGATGCAAGCGAGTTGGAAACACGGGGTTTGACGGAGAGGTTCGCTGGGATATCGGGCGGTCGACGAGCCGGAATGGGCGGGGTCGAGGCGGATCCGCCGAAAAGAGCGTGAAGAAAGACAACCTGCTTGTCGATTGTTTTCCTCGTTCGTTTTCCTTTGCCCGAGGAGCGATCGAGTACGGGAAAACAATGTGTCACAGGGGGGCTCGTTTTCCCCTTGCTGGCTGAAGAGACTCGGCGAGGTGGTCGCTACGGCGGAGGTGGTGGTGGCTGGCCTGGGTCACGGTCTTGCAGTCGTCCGAGATCGTCACAAGCGAATGTCGGAGGGCTGTAGCCTGAGAGAACGGGCGTGGCGGGCGGAAAGGTGTCTGGACAGTGTCACGGAGAGACAGTGACAGGAAATACGGACACGAGGGATGTGGACTTTGGTGGTCTGTCGGCCCAGTCTGTAATCAATGACCACAACAGCCTTGGCTTCTGGGGCCGGAGAGCTGGTGGTTTGACTTTTTGTTGGACGCGGCGCCGTTGGTTTTTCAACAGGGTGGGTGGGTTGTCTGCCTGTGGTTTTAGGTAGCACGTGGCGGAAGGGTGTGCTGAGAGAAGTCAGCTCTAATGATCAGTTCTTCTCCCACTCAGGCTTGTACGGAGTACAGTGAGGATACAGTCCCTGGGTGCTCGTATCTTCAAACTCAAATTGAATGATGTGACTGATGTCTCTTGTTCACGGTATCGAGGACGAGTAATGGCAAAGGACGCAGACCCTTTCTTTATTGACCTGGGGCTTACCTATTGGTCTTGAGACAAAGTCTGCGGCAGGGAGCCCGTTTTACTCAACATCCCGGACCTTTCGAAGCCCTGAGCTGGCCAGCTGGGGCCCTGTACAAGTAGCATGGGCGGGCCTCTCTGCGAGCTGGATGGAGGTCACAACATCCATGGACTCTCCACAGAAAGTCGCTTGTTCATTCCGATAGACCTCGACGGTACTTTCAGAAATGACTACTCATACCTACCTTTACCCAAGAACTCTGATTCGCATGCTGATGATCAGCCGTACTGGCACCGAGAGTAATGGTGGGCAACTCAACTCGACTGACCTCAGTGGGCAATTCCATCTGCAGATGAGCTTGGGCACTCCGTCATGTCCGAGTTCATCAATCCCGTCCCGGGGGCTCCTCTCTCCCTCCTCCAGGCTGCCTGCAGCAGCAATGGCGTCAGGGACGTCGAAGGACAAAGACGTCTGGCGAATGCCAAGACTGGTGTGCCCACCAGTATTAACCTCATCCTGCCCAGGATCGACCCCAGACATGATCAGACGGCTCCCTCTGCAATTCACTAAACCGCCCAAACGAGACGGGTAACCGGACGCTGTTCTCTCACCAGCTCAAGGGGAGTTGGGCTTTTCCTTTCGTGTCCACCAGACTAAAGCGGCCTATTACATAGCTGCAGGGTTGAACGGCTATTCGGCTTGTCTGAATCGTACCCAGGGGCATGTTCCTCAGGGGAAAGCATCTCACAGTGGCTTGACTGACTTGACCTTACTTCTACTTCTAACTGACCGACCGAGAGACAAAGTTCCCCATTGCGCTGGTATCCTCTTACAGGTTCATTGGCTCGATAGAGACAACGTCAAATGCTTTATGACTTCATTGCATCTTGTGTTGTGGTATTTTCATATCTGCATTTCCACTGTAGATCTCCTGCAAGAGAAGACAGAATGCGATAATGTACGCTTCCCGCCTATGCTGCTCAGAAAGGGTGTGTGCGTGGAGCGGGGTTGGACATATCCAGCACGAGTATTTCAGCCTCTGCCGCGACGTGCGTGGGGGTTGAAGACCCTATGCCGACGTTAACTACTTCGAGGGCCCTGCCAGCACAGGGTTTTCTTGTGACATTTGCGTCGTCATCGGGCCCCTAAGCGAGCAACATAAAGTATTGTACGGACACGGGCCTTGAGATCTCGCCTAGCATCTCCGGACCCGGCGCAACGGCCTTCGCTGGTTCTCGCATGCTTCTCGCAAAGCAGCACCCATAACCATTCCTTGAGAATGCAAAGCAAGGCCTGTTCATCTTTGGTAAGCCGGGCATTCAACCGTGATGAGTACTGGGAATTATCAAAGACAGACACAATTTTCCAGAACCTGTCTAGCTCAGTAGGCAGTGGGATAATCCAGTTTACGACGAGCGATACCTACGTTCACTAACACGGGCCCCGAGATCCAACCCTATGAGACAGAAGTCGGCAGGCTGACCGCTGTTGCACTGCATTCACCACCGCTGGCACATGCTCAGGGCAAAGTCTTGAATATTGGCTCAGGCCCAGCCTCGAATTGATCATTCGGACGAGGGTTGTAGGGGCAGTATTGTGACCCGTGTCTCGGGAAGAGGGCCACTCTTGATGCCGGCCAGCTCTGGCACCAAGTGGTCATCTGTCCCGTCGATGATGACCACCACCACCACTGTGTCTGACGGCAGTCAGCTGGACTCACTACCTAGGTATGGCGAGCGACAAGTTGGCTGTGTGCCAGGGTGTGCAGTGCATCCCTTTGTAATCGTGTTCGATAGCCGTCTCCGATCCAATGTACGTACGAGTTTTCCTTCAGTCAAGTCTCTTTTCCGCGGATGGACGGCGCACGGCCATTGATAACTATGGCGAATCACGTCAACAATCTCGCTGCCAGACCTTGTCAGGACGGGAGCGATTCTTCAGAATTATCTTCGGAAATGCCCAGCCGGGGCCAGATCAATTGCCTCAGCACGCACCCTGAGGCACCCTGGCCAGACCCCCAGAGACCCTGGATTTTCGGGCGGTACAGATCATGACCTGGACCCTGATTGTACGCCTTCGCGCTAAAAAGACCTTCACCCCGCGCCGATGGCCACAAGTTAGTTAACAGTGTTGACGCCCATATTCTGCTTGCCCGGCTCTTGATCCTCACTTTTCTGCCCTCCCTCCCCACCAAGTTGACCCCTCCTCACAACCAGTCGACCCTTGGTACATGTATTACTTGTAGTTCGGAACCGTGGCGCCGGGGTCTTATCTGCCCACCACACGCATTCACGACTGGCCACCTGCTCGACACGCCCAATAGTGCATGCGCCATACTGAGTACAACAAATCAGATCACGTAAGGGTTGTCCTCGTCTTGCACGCGATACCCCCCTTGGTTGGGTCATTCGCAGAGAGTTCGCAAGATGGGATTCGCTTCGAGAGCCTATGTCAGTGACAAGAGTGTTGTTTGTAATTATCTACCCCAGCTTGCAAGCTGTGCCGAGCTGCGGGCTTTCGTCCATATGCGCACACAAGAGAGTACATGTAGGTAGTTGAAAAACGAAACATAATTCCTCAATACTCAAGCAGAGAACAAAGTACCCCGTACCGTACTTTGTCCAAGGTTGGAATGGGGAAGCCACTTGTGGAACATGGGAGCGAGCCCACTTGCAGGGACCCCCGGTCCCTCTGATAAGACCCCGAAAAATAGGCCGCACGCACGCAGAAATGGACCCAAGGTTTGTCTCTGCTCGTGTTCGTCCTGGATTTGATGGTTCACATAAACCTTCGTCAATACCCGAGTGCTTGTGACTGGTGTCATACAATAATCATCAGGTTCTCCCAAAGCAAATATCAGTCGAGAAAGACAGTCGTCGGTCTTCTCTCATTGCTCTCTCCTAGAAGTGCTCTCTCTCTCTGTCTCTTCTCTCAGCGCGGACCCCCGATAAGGCCCCCGGACTGCATCGCTAAAGAACCCCGGTGATAAGCCGATTCCCCCTCTTCAACATCAGCCTCGTCCTCGTATCATCCCGGACAAAGAACTTTCCTCCAGCGCCCAGGCCTGGTCCGACCTGAACTTTTGCATTTACAAGTACGCTGCCCATCAGGATCCTGCATCGGGAGCACCAAGGTCTCCTTGTCCTGTTGCTCCTCGCCGTCTCCTGACGCTTGACCAACAGGCGAGAGAGAATTCGGCTCCACGGGTTCCACCGTGGCAAACCCCGCGTCTTTTTGGGAGGAGGACCCTTTACCCAACAGCTTTTAGGAGCGCCATTTCCCACCTCATCGAGGCTCTGTTTTGACAGCTCGTGCTCTTCGATTCAATCGTTTTGTCTTTCTTGCTCATCTGGCTGGCCCATTCTCCGTGCTAGTGATGGGAGGCAGTCCATAGGCAATTGTCCTGGGGTTGTCCTTGGTCTTGGCCCATCACTTCTTTGATCAAAGTATTGGGCGAGAGCTGGGCGAGACAATAACTGGAGGGCAGTTGCTGAGCAGTTGTTGACAACAGCACTCAGTACCAGACGCCTATTACAGAGGCGCACTTTTGCAATTATTTAACACGCGATATCATCTTCGATTCCATCGTCTCATTCGATATGGACGAGATCAGGGCGGCGGCGGACCCTCTCGATGAGGCTGGCCTGCCTCCGACCCCTGGTACGCCAAATGGGATAGCACCGGAAGGTCCTATCAAGAAGAAAAGCCGAGCCAGGCTTCTGCGCGGGCTTTCGCGCATATCATCTTCTCCGACACTCGCTCAGGTTGGCCGTGCCCGGTCTTCGAGCAGCCCCTACCCTCGCGGGGCCAGCCTGTCGTGTGTTAGCCTGGCAACGACACCCTCTCCCTTCGGGCAACCGAGTACTGGGTCCTACTTCTCGCAATTTCCCGGCGCCGATTCGAGCGCGGCTACCTCGATTCCGGGCACGCCCCTCCACGAGTTCGACGAGTGTGACGAGATCGGAGGCGTTGGGAGGATTCGTCGACTGGAGACTTCCACTCCGTTGACGGCACCCCTTCCTGTCGAGATTAGACCGAGAAAGACCCTTTTCAAGCTTTGGGCCAGCTTACCCCACGAGATCAAGGTTCATGTGCTGGCTTATTTCGAACCCAAGGAGCTGGTGCGAGCCTCCCGGGTCAACAAGGAGTTCTACAAGATGTGCTTTGACGGTCAGCTGTGGACATCATTCGACGCTTCGGAGTTCTACAAGGACATCCCTGCCGAGTCGCTGGCCAAGATCATCGTAGCAGCCGGCCCATTTGTCAAGGACCTCAATCTCCGCGGGTGTGTGCAAGTCGAGCACTACAAGCGCGCCGAGGTCATTGTTAAGTCATGCAGAAACCTTATCAACGCAACTCTCGAAGGGTGCAGGAACTTCCAGAGGACAACCTTGCACACCCTTCTGCGGAGCAACGAAAAGCTGGCCAATCTGAACTTGACCGGCTTGGCGGCGGTGACAAACCAGACCTGCAAGATAATCGCTCACTCCTGCCCTCAGCTCGAGGTCTTCAACGTTTCTTGGTGCAAGCACATGGATGCCAGGGGCGTCAAGGCGGTGGTCGAGTCGTGTGCGCGGCTGCGAGATCTGCGCGTTGGTGAGATCAAAGGGTTCGATAACCGTGACGTGGCCGAGGCTATCTTCCGTACCAACAATCTGGAGAGGTTGATCCTTGCCGGCTGCGACGATCTAGACGATAGTGCCCTGGCAACGATGATACATGGAAAGGACCCCGAGATCGATGTCTTGACGGACCGTCCAGTCGTTCCAGTGAGGAAACTCCGCCACCTTGATCTCAGCCGTTGCTCACGTTTGACCTCCCAAGGGGTGAGCGCACTTGGGCATTTTGTACCTGACCTTGAGGGCCTTCAACTGAGCGGGTGCTCTTCCCTTGGAGACCACGCCCTTGAGTCGATCCTGGCATCAGCTCCACGGCTGACCCATCTCGATCTTGAGGATCTTGTCGACCTCACCAATGGACTGCTCTCGGAGCACCTCGCAAAGGCCCCCTGTGCGCCGAGGCTAGAGCATCTATCCATCAGCTACTGTGAGAATCTAGGCGATGCTGGTATGCTTCCCGTGATGCGGGCATGCAAAAGCCTTCGGAGTGTCGACATGGACAACACTCGGGTCTCAGACCTCGTTCTTGCCGAAGCAGCAGCCATGGTCCGTGATCGCTCGAGCCGGACCATGGAGCGCCGCAGCCGGCCTGTCATCGGTCTCAGCCTCGTTGTTTACGACTGCCAAAACGTGACCTGGACGGGGGCTCGCGAGGTGCTTTCTCGCAACGCCGAGATAGTCGTGCCTCGCAAGCAGCCCCCCGCCGCCGCCGCCGCCGCCGCCGGCCCGGGGGAGTCGGCTCCCAGGCCCATACAGACGTACCCGACCGAGGTCATCTCGCTCAAGTGCTTCTACGGATGGCAGATGACGGTCGACGAGCACACCAAGCGCGTCCTCCGGGGCGACTTCGGCTCGGCGGCGCGCCTGGAGCGCAAGTGGGCAGAGTACATGCAGGCGAACGAGGAGGCCGGCGCGGCGGGCGCGGGCGTGCGGCGGCGGCGGCGGCGAGCTAGAGAGGCGCAGATGGCGCACGCCGACGAGGAGGAGGGCGGTGCCGGCACCGTGGGACGGCGGAGGGCCAGGACGGCGGCGTGCGCGGTCATGTGAGGAAGATTGGGCACCGTTTCTGGTATCTACCTGGGGTCCATGAGTGACTCGTGACTCTACGGGCCTCACATGGGAGAAGGTGTGACGAAGGGGGAACTCTGGGTTTTTTTTTTCATATCAGCACAGCACATGGAGGCGTTTTGGTCGGTCCTTTGGGAAGGCGTTTGTCGGGATTCTTGGATTGAGTATCTATGCGAAATCACATATCACACACACACACACACACACATATCTTGAGAAGGCTTGACACGAGTTGTCTCGCTTGCTCTGCCTCCACGCTGGCATTATTGGATTACCGAGTTTGGAGAGGCGGAAGACCTTCATCTAAAGCTCTCATCTTTCGCGCATGTATGTATGTCTGTATTTCAGAATTTGGCAGCATCCCGAATATGTCTTGAGAAGTGGTCTACCATGTACAACAAAGTCCGTTGTCCAACTACGCTTTCCAAATCGTGTTTCCCCTCCGCCTTGTTTCTCTTCCACTCAACCGGTTAAGCAACTGCAGCTTCCTGTAGTCGCTACAACGAGTTTCAGCGATACCTGTCACCAGTCTCTACAGCTGTATAGCTGTGCAAACGCAGAGAACAGGGGTGATTTGAAGTCACTGATCGACTCCGTGTTAGAAATCTTGTGGCAAAACTATCAGCACTTGTAGTCCAAGAGTCAATGCGCGACGACTATCGAATTTAAGCCTTCCAGAGGCTGGAAATACCGCGGATATGGATGATCGCGAGTGGTTGTACGGAGGAGAAGACGATCAAATCTGGAGAAAATGGCCGCGACACGAGCATCTACTCCGTAGCTAGCCTCCCTGATATACTTAGTATTTCAACGCTACCAGCTCGTATGCCGTTTCAGTCGACGAAAACTCGTTCAACGACCACTCAGATGCAAAAGAGACGACAACTCAAGACTATCGAGTCCCAGCCAACTTACCGGCTCACTACGTAGTGTCTCCAGAGCACCCACGTCGAGGCATTAGACCAGATTCCCATGTTTTTTAATTGTAATAGCGATTGTCCACAGGATGGGGTTTTCAATGACCCATGCATAGTACATGAGATAATGGACATTCTCCGACACTTGCAGTGTGTCTGAGTAGGATATGCATCGTCTCGGAGCAGAACTCGAGGTTCAAGCGAAGCCGCCTCCGACTCCATGTAGGCGGGGGTGATCTGGCTCACCAAGTTTGCTGCGCAGACCAGGGGTACGATGCCCTGCTTCTTGCTTCTTCCTTCTTTTCTGTTTTCTTTCAATGCCAAGATGGAGATTTTGGCACCCACCCCCTTGCGAACGAGCTGGATGCGAACCCCTGACGACTCGGAATCCTTCAAGTCTTTTGACAGCCAGCGGCCAGATCCAGAGTCAGCCCACTGATGACTGGAGAGTGCAGTAGTCGTGGCGATCACCAGAAGGGAGGCACATTGGGACACGAGGCTAAGTGACACAGTGCAACTGAGCAGTCACAAACGAAGAGAGAAACAGACAAGAGTTCAGCCCTGGGCTCTCTTCCCATCTGCTCGGTCTTCCCATCTGCTCGGCACCTCACCCCCTCGCTGCGCGAAATCAGGCCATCGGGTGGGCTTGGGTTGCCTCTTCGGGGACAGATCTCTGCTGCAGCTTCACCAACTTGGAAAGGCACTCGCGACGGAAAGGGTAATCAGTGGACCCCGAGGACTCGGGAGGGCAGCAAACAGAGGCCGGCGCGTCGACGGGACAGGGCCTTGGACCTTCTTCTTTTGTGTGTTTTTTTGTGTTTTGTGACGGCTCACATTCTGCTAGCTGCTGGGTTGCAGGTTGATGGGGTTAGCAGAGCTCTCAGGTTGCCAACCGGGTTGTGACCCGAGGGTTTGGCGAGCTAGCGGAGTTTTTTGCTCGGCGAGGTGACCTGACGTACAGAGTCGATCCGCGCGCGGATGCCGTCATGCTGGCTGATTGTCTTTGGAAGAAGACGATAGTGCATGGGTCGCCCGCTGCATGGGCATGATATGATTAGACTCCAGCGAGAGAAGACAAGAGTACAGCGAGGCTTCATGGAGACACTGAGCAATTTCGCGGGAGTTGGCGGCACGGGACGATACGAAAGGGAGAACTTCGCCCCAGAGAACTCCGGGGGAGACCACCTTGCCGAGCTGAAGCCCCCGCTACGAGATCACAGCCCGTGTCGCCATTGAGGTAGCAGGTTGACAGGAGAGAGAGGCTCTGCTCTGGGAGGGGGGCGTGAGCGACGAAATCTGCGGGCGCTGGATCTCAATCACCTGTGGGCCCCCCGTAGCGAAGCGCAATTGTGGTGCCACAGGTCACCGGACATGGCAGATCGGCGCTGGAGTCCTACTGAGGTCAAACCCAGGTTGGAGAAGATCTGCACTTGGATCTTTGGTAGGCTGGGGCCAGCTAAAGCACCCTACGGATGCACGGGAGACGGGGCCTCGATGTGATCGAGCTTTACTGGATTGAGTGGCCCGGGTAGGACTATTGATGGCACCGTCTTACTCTGAACAGGGGCGCTGGGGGGTCCTTGGAGAGGGCCCAGCACAAAGGGACTGGTGCGTGTGGAGGCTTCAAGGGTGCTGGGGTTTCTTTACAAGTAGAGTCATCATGTCATGGCGAGGAAGAGAGACATATCCGAGCCTCGTAATTGGCCGTGTCGTGTGCCCAAAAAGAACAATACGTGCGTATGAAGTACGGTGGCAGATAGGCAGTGAGCTCGCTTGTTGCCGATCTCGCCTATCGCGAGAGAGGGCAGAGAACAGAAGAAGCGCGCGCAGGCGCCGAGATGGATTTTGGCTTGGATTTCCGACGTCTACTTTAGCTTATCGCGATAAGGCAGGAGGCCCTCGACCAGTGTCGCACCTCGGAAATTTCCCAGATCATGTTCGCTACGTAAAAGTCCTCATCCATCTTTCTGTGCTGTTCTCGTCGACATCCCCAAAAAGAGAGGCTGCATCCTACACGACGACAAACGACTCTTGCTCATCTCGGGGGAGCCGGCAACGTTAGCTGTCAATGCAGCATTCAGCACTCCAGGGATCTCTCTCCCTGCAGCTAGAGGAGCGAAAGAGGGGTTTGGATGGGCTCGATGGACTTGATGGGATGAAAAAGGTCCCACTGCGCCCCATCTCGCCCACCACCTCACGCCCGTTCTCAGTCTAGGTAGCCATAGCCAGCCTTTAAGGTTGCGGACACTTTCCAGCACTCGTCCCCATTGCGAGAGGCAGACGGGACTGGACTGGTTGAGCTCTTTAGCGGCCCCTGCATAGGCACTCGGTTCAGCCTCGGCATCCCCTCACAGCAGCAAGCAGCCGGCAAGCACTTGAACGAGCCACTCAACTGCCATCCCCGGCCTGACCAGTCGGTGACCAAGTCGAACTTTTGGCTGTTCATACCCGGTTCACGACCTGTTTGCCCTCTTGAGCTGTCACCCAAACGGATCGGACGGGCGGAAACGTGCTAAGTCCCTCGTCGCGCGCGAATTTGGGCCCCCGGATATGTCACTCGAGACAATCTACGTAACCCGCCATGGAGTATGTCATCAAACCCCCTTTTCTCTCAGCTGCGTTGCGCAGAAAGGGTCTTATTGACAAGGCCCGCAGTTTCGCTCCAATTGGCTTGTAGACCCCTCCACGGGGGGCTACACGGCGGCCCTCAGGACGCCCACCGGCATAGCAGCAGACCCTGCCCTAACGGCTCACGGAGTTGACCAGGCCAAGGAACTCGCTGTTCATCTTGCAGCCATCCAACCCCCCGTGGAGCAGGTCTACTCCAGCCCCTATTACCGGTGCCTGCAGACCGTGGAGCCCTATGTGAAGTGGAGGGTCTCTCAGGGTCAAAGGAATGCCGCTGTTGAGACGGGGCCCAACGCAACTCCGGTCAAGATTCGAGGCGAAGCTGGTATCTCTGAGTGGTACGGTTCTGCCCCGTTTGATCACCCTATCCCTGCAGCCCTAGAGAGGTTGAAAGAGTTCTTTCCCAATCTGGACGAGGCCTACAAGTCGGTAGTAGTGCCGGAGAGAAAGGGGGAGACCATCATGCAACTGCACAATCGGATCGCACTCGCCTTGCATAAGTTGATCGAGCAGTGCGACAGGGATGGGGTCCGCACCATCCTGCTCTGCTCTCACGCTGCGCCAATCATTGCGATGGGAAGAGTCCTGACTGGGGTGATGCCCCATGATGTCGAGGAGGAAGACTTCCATGCCTACACCTGTGGGCTGACCACGTATCGCCGAAGGAGAAAACTGCCCGCTGAGAAGCCGGAGAGCCAAGACGAGCAGCAGGCGAGAGGGGCGGCTGATCCACCGGCAACTGAGCCGGGCGTCCGGGCGATGGTGGTGGAAGGCGAGCAGAAGCGGCCGATACCCGATGAGGTCATTCAGCCAGCAACAAGGGCGAAATCGCAGCTTGCAGATCCCTCTAGTGCGAAAGGGGAGAAAATGCTACCGTGGATGCATGGTTTGGGAGTTGGAGGTGGTTGGGACTGTCTGAGTGACAGCGACTGCAGCTTCCTTAGCGCTGGAGAAGAGAGAGGCTGGTAAGTGCAAGAACAAAACCTTAGGTTCTGTGTTCGTTTCGCGCCTGCTGCTAGGTTGGTGTCGTGGCGAAACGGATTCTGCAAGCAGCGCTGTACTAACGGAATTCTGTAGGCGCTTCAGTGGCGACGAAGCCTTTGTCGGTGCTCGCCCCGATGGCCCAGATCAAGTGGACGCCGGGATATCCCTTGGGGTCGTGGTTGAGGGAAGACATCAAGCAGGCCATCCCCACAAGGAAGCGGGAAGTTCGCGGCTATAGGCCGCGTCTGGGGGCCAAGTTTGCAAAAGCGAAGCGGGCTATAGCAGCTAGTCGTAGCGGTCTCGAAGCCGGAGCAAGACAAGTCTCGACACCTGTTTCGCAAGCGCGGACCGGGCCTTGACGAGCCTCCCCCAACGACACGAGTCAAGAAGAGGAATCGAGTCAGACTTTCGCAGGACAACATCCAGCTACTTGGTTCTCCGGTGTGGTGGCTGGCATTCTAGCCTTCGTGACGGCAAGAGCATGTGGCACTACCACTACCTACCTGTGTGCAATCACATCATCGTTAGCATCGTCAACAAGAACATCATGCTTGTGGGCCTGCGATTTTCCCGTCCCCGTTTCTCGCGCGGGCAAAGGGACATTATGTAAGAGTCGGGCTCATGATGCGGGCCGTTCCTGGCGGTTGCGGTAGAGATGCTCCGAGTGATATCGGCCCAGCAGCGACGAGAGTGTTTTCTTGTGTTGTGGAACAGACGCATCGACCCGGCTCGAATGCGCGAAGAATAGTCTCGCAACCCATCCCTGATTCTGAAGCGAGTGTGGAGGCAGACCAAGAAGCTTTGCGTTAGGCCCGATCGAAGCAGGCCCCTCCCCTCCCGCTCGCCAACAGAGGTCGACCCGAGAATAAGCAATGGCCGATGGCGTGGACACAACCTCGAGGTACATGACCTTCCCCAGGTCTGCCGTTTTCCGGCACAGTGCTGGTCGTCGTCCACAAGCATTCTCACCTTGTCGAGGCCTCTTTTCAGACCATCAGGGATCTATTGAGACACTATGTATCCACATTGCCTGCATGAGTGGGCCAAGCGGACGCCAACGGTCACATCTCAGATTCGAGATGCAGAATACAGACGCTAAGGCTGGGGCTCGAGCAGGGAGGTCCATGCAAGTGAAATTGAGGAGCTTGGGTCGCTGCCATTACCTCGTACCTCCATCATCCCTTGCTTTGGACCTCTTCGCTACGGAGCGACACTCTTTTGAAAGATGAAAAGAATTGCGTACTTCGTACCCACCACTAGCAATGGGCTGACGGTTGGCCATAATCTGCGAGCATTGTTCCTGGAGACAGACCTTGGAGGTTCGTGCCCCTGAGCCTTGACTATTCGTCATCTGCACACTGCACACGCCGACACTACGCCGTCTCTTATTTGGTGACGCAAGTGCCGGGAACTATCAGCGTTTTATCACTTTGGTGTCGAGCAAATGGAGATCCATCACCCACCCAGACTCCGATAACAACTCGGCTATGGGGGGCATGATACACAACAGGTGCCGAAGTATATGATTGTTGTGAGTAACCAGAATGCAAGAGGATTCGCTTGACACCGCCACCAACAGCATCAGACATGCGTTCGGCAACTCCTTGTCAGACCCAATCGGATCCTCCGAGATCTAGATTGCGGAACCCGGGCCCTGGGGTCGCAGATGCGGAAATGTCCTGCGAAAGATGATAGGTACTTGTTTCTTGCTGCCATGCAAAAAGCAAAGCCAGGCTACATCGAGTCGTGGGCAGCTGCGGAGCAACTTGGTTTCCTTGCCACTGGCCTGCTGGCGGTGGCTTGCACCACGCTTCGGGATCCTTCGACTGACAGGACAGGAGTGCCTACCGACTTACCCACTGCCGTCCGATGCCATGTCGCACAGCAACATGATTGTGCACTTTCTGCTATCTTCATTTCGGTTTAGGTTTGAGCTAAAAGTTTTCGACCGTCGCACAGTCGGCATCATCAAAGCTTGCCCGCCTACGACGTCTGGCGGGCCTTTCGCAACGGTAAAGAACCAACACACCATTGCTGTAAGACAATCCACGGCACCTCTCCTGTTCGCATCCATCGCACGGGTGAGTAGGAGAGGTTGTGAAAGAAAGTACCGATGCACCTCTATCTACTCAGAGACAACGACGAAGGAGCAGCCTGTGCCGCCATACGCTGACGGAAACCCAGTCCAATGGGATGTGTGACCGGGGGCCGATCTCTCTCGATCACTGCAACTCTGCAACAAAACCCCCGGGCATGCCCAGGTGCCAGACAGATACGTATGGCTACGTACGATGTACGGAGTACGTACCTACTTGCAACAGCTCCTCAAGGATGGCGAAGCAGGGTAGAGGACAAGATCCGGATCAGCCTGACGCGCGTGATCTCAGACAAGGGAGGACCCTTGCAAGACGGCTACCCTAGTGCGGCGCGAGCTCCACCTAGCCAGCTTGGGGCATTGCTTTTTGGATCCTTTCCACTTCGCTTCGAGGGTTCGAGCTGCTTGGTACGTTTGTACACACGTACCTCGACAGTCCCCCCTGAAGCTCGATGCGATAGCATCTATGCATCTGGCTAGATTGGTAATACCAAGGTCTCATCATGGCCCTGTCTGTTACAAGAAAGGCCAATGATGGCCAGCAGCGAGCCCAGCCAGAGGCTGGTGTGGAGAACCCCAGGTCTACATACCCAACCGCATACTGTCAAAATCTCGTCGATCAATTTTGGAGACACCAAGCTTTCGGTACCAAGGTCCAAGTCATATCTTTTGAGGTTCGTTTACAGACTAGGCTCGACAGACTTGACAGATACAGGAGACCTTGACCATGTACCTCTGGAGAGGCTGATAGCAAGGTGCAGCAAAGGAATTGTGATCGCTTCTCGGCTGAGGCTATCAAGATCAAAAGAAAAGAAAAAAGTGCGGAGTGTCTAGGATGGCTTGCATCTCAACCTCGAGTCGACTTACGAAGTACGTACGGATCCCGTCATCTCTTTGTGAGAGCAGGATTGTCAAGATGGCGCCTGTCAACAACGGTCTGATATTGTTTCTGACCCTTCTTTCCTCCGCCTCTCTCTCTCACTCTCTGTCTGGTGACATGTGAGCAGGTTGAGACATCAGTACCGCGGTGGCTGCAGATATACTTCTTAGTAGCCTTTCCCGGCTTTGCTACAGATGCAAGCGGTTCTCTCACAGTTCGATTTCTCACATTTTTGTTTCAAGAAAAAGAAAAGAAAAGAAAACACAAGGATTGGAGACTGCCTGGACACCACTAGACGTAGCTTCCTCTGAGCAATGGACGTCCAGGCAACAATAATATGGAGATAAAATATATGCTATATACAGGGTTTGCTATATAACTCAAGGTGAGCGAGTGGCCCGAGGAGAAGGGTCTCTCTCACCTGGCAAACACTTAGCTAGGATACGAAGCCGGAAAGCAGCCACCGGTCGTAATCAGTAAACCAAGGAGCACCAAGAAGCACTTCCTATTCGAGGAGATCTCCAGAAAGGCAGAAAAAGCAAGGCTGAGAAGGCCCACTTGCAACCAACAAGGGCGGCTGGGTAATGAGGATAGGTCTTATGTCACACCCGGACTAAGAGACAGTGTCAGTTGCGTGAGCCGCACTTACTAGCTTGCTTCCCATCATGTCTCCCTCCCTTCCCCCTCCCTTCTCTCTCTCGTGTTAGGTTAGTTGTTGATCCCATCATCAACACCAAGCACACCAAACCCACGGGACCCATCATATCATGAGACCCTCCCCTGTCTACCTGACTTGGCCTCTGGAGCCCCAGCACCGCACCGAGCGGAGCAGAGAGGCTTACTCCGTCTGTACGGAGCACCGACTTGCAGTGCCACTAACTTGTTAAGCTACCCACGATCATCCACCAATGCTGCGTCCTTTTCCTGTGTCATTTTGTCCCTTCTTTTCTTTTCCCTTTCCACCACGGATGCATCCCGTCGGGTTAGCGCTGATCCAGCTGGTCTTGGTCCTCGTTGGACTTGGCTTAGCCGCATCGACCGGCGACCGTCGTTGGAAAGGTCTTCTTGGAGTGAAGAAGTGACCCCTACATGTCATCAGCCTGCTGGAGCTCGTCGTGACAGGACTGACTAGGCCTTCCTTCATGCCCTCCCTTACTGTAAGTCTTCGAGCTAGTGCGGCTTGTTGCCAAACCATCTCACCACTCCCCTCTCCCAGCAAGCCAGCCCATGCCCCATAGAGGCGAGATCTCTCCTTATACACAGCCCAATTTTTGCTTCACACCCTCACCTCTTCGTCTCCCTCCCTCCCTCCCACACCCTGCTCCACTGGTGGCAGGGACAGGGCTCCCCGGGGATCCAACATCTAGGTTCTTGACTCAGCTAGCTCGAGACTCCATCACGCTCTTGCATGCGTCCGGACACGGTGCTGCAAAAAAAAACTTGTTAGGACGAGATAGGCGAGCAGGATGCACACGCCCCCAGCCCAGAGAAGATATCATATCTGACGGGATGGGATTTAGAGTCGACCAGGGCCAATCTCGGGGCGCCACCACGGCGATCCTCTGTATCGATCCCCCTCCCCCCCCCCCCCCCCCTCCTTCCCT